CTCTCTCTCTTTTTTTTTTTTTTTTTTGCTTCTTGGGTGTTTTTTTCTTCCAGGAAATCAATTATCAAGAGCAAAAATCACTGTTCTTACCTAATTCCAAGCACGTTGTTTACAATCAGCTTAAAATAGGGCTTTTGGGCTCTGGCTGCTTGTAGCTTGGGCCACTGGACCAGGGGTAGGCAACCTTGGCTCTTTTATGATTCGTGGACTTCAACTCCCAGAATTCCTGAGCCAGCCATGCTGAGGGGAAAGGGAGAGGTTTCCATGTTGGCTCAGGAATTCTGGGAGTTGAAGTCCACGAGTCATGAAAGGGCCATAGTTCCCCCTTGTTGGCTCAGGAATTCTGGGAGTTGAAGTCCACGAGTCATGAAAGGGCCATAGTTCCCCCCTGCTGGCTCAGGAATTCTGGGAGTTGAAGTCCACGAGTCATAAAGGTGGCCATAGTTCCCCCCTGCTGGCTCAGGAATTCTGGGAGTTGAAGTCCACGAGTCATGAAGGGACCATAGTTCCTCCATGCTGGCTCAGGAATTCTGGGAGTTGAAGTCCACGAGTCGTGGAGGGGGCTCCGGGACGCTGCAACCATGATAACTATATGCCGGTTTCCAAGCGCCTGAATTTTGCTCCTGCAATCTAGAACTGAGGAGAAACTTCCTGACAGTGAGAACAATTAACTAATGGAACAACCTGCCTCCAGAAGTAATGGGTGCTCCAACACTGGAGGATTTTACAAGCAGATTAATCAGCCATTTGTCCGAAATAGTGTACGGTTTCCTGCCTGAGCAAGGGGTTGGACTAGATGACCTCCAAGGTCCCTTCCAACTTTTATTATTATTATTATTATTATTATTATTATTATCGATCATCGCACAGTCAGCCAGATGTTCAGACTGGATTTGGCATTTTGTCTACCTATCGAGTCCTTACCCAGGACCTGGGATAGGCAGATGTGGATGTTTGATGGTATTACAGGTATCGTCGCAGGATGGAAGCAGTTCCTAATAAGGCCGCCTTTTGCAATTGACTAATAGCGAATTTGTCAATGCCAATGGTGTTCAAGTGGTGCTCCAGTTGTTTTGGGATTGCACCCAAGGAGCCTATGACTATTGGTACTACCCTTGCTTGCTTTTGCCACAGTCTTTCTATTTCTATTTGTAGGTCTTTGTATTTTGTTATCTTCTCCAGTTCTTTCTCGTCTATTCTGCTGTCTCCAGGCACTGCCACGTCCACTATCCAGACTTTTTTGTCTTTCTTATCGACAATTGTTAAGTCTGGGGTGTTATGTTGCAGGTGCTTGTCTGTTTGAATTCTGAAGTCCCAGAGCAGTTTAATTTTATCATTTTCTATGACTTTCTCTATTTTATGATCCCACCAGTTTTTGCTTACAGGCAAATGATATTTTTTGCAGATCTTCCAATGCACCATTGTTGCTACTTTGTCATGCCGCTGCTTGTAATCAGTCTGTGCAATCTTCTTGCAACAGCTTACCAAGTGGTCCACTGTTTCTTCAGCTTCTTTGCATAGGCGGCACTTACTGTCTGTTGCTGTCTTCTCAATTTTGACTTTGTATGCATTTGTCCTTAAGGCTTGGTCTTGTGCAGCCAGAATTAGTCCCTCGGTCTCTTTCTTCAATTTTCCTGCTCTTAGCCATTGCCAGGTTTTATTATTATCTGCTTTCCCAGCTATTTTTTTCATGTATTGGCCATGTAGTGCTTTGTCTTCCCATGCCTCTATTCTGTTCTTCATTTGGTCTTTCTTGTAGGCCAGTTTGGTCTCTCCAGTAGTTAGTAAGCCTTCCTGATATACTAATTTCAGTGCATCTTCATCATTGTTCTTCAGATATTCTTCCAAAGCCATTTTTTCTTCTTCAACCATCTGATGTACTTGTAGCATTCCACGCCCACCTATTTGCCTTGGTAGATAAAGTCTATCAATGTCACTGCGTGGATGAAGGGCATGATTCATTGTCATTATTTTTCTGGTCTGCCTATCCATTGCTTTTAGTTCTGCTTGAGTCCAGTCCACTATTCCAGCTGTGCACCTAATGACTGGGATTGCCCAGGTGTTGATTGCCTTTATGGTATTTCCTCCATTGAGTTTGGATTTTAAGATCTTCTTCACTCTCTTGATGTATTCACCTCTAATCTTTTTCTTGACTTCAGTGTGCTTGATGTTGTCAGCTTGAAGGATACCCAAGTATTTGTAGTACTCTTCCTCATCCAGACTCTTAATGTTATTTTCGTGGGGCATCTTGATTCCTTCAGTTTTCATTATTTTTCCTTGTTTGATAGTAAGTGTGGCACATTTGTCCAAGCCAAACTCCATTACAATATCTTGGCTATATATACGGACAGTGTTGAGCAGCGATTCTATTTCAGATGATGTTTTTCCATACAGCTTCAGATCATCCATGTAAAGGAGGTGGGATAGTCTGGCAGATGTTTTTGATGTTTGATAGCCATGTCCTGAGTTATTCAGTATTGTTGACAGAGGAAACAGTGCAATAACAAATAGTAATGGTGATAATGAATCTCCTTGAAATATTCCTCTCTTGATATTAACCTCTCCCAGCCTCTCACCATTGATCTGCAACTGTGTCTTCCATTGTGCCATCGATCTTTGCACAAATTTTCTGATGTTTCTACTGACTCCTGTTATTTCTAGGCACTTTATTATCCAATCATGTGGCAGAGAGTCAAATGCCTTTTTGTAGTCAATCCATGCCACATTCAGGTTGGTCTTCCTTCTCTTGCAGTTTTCCAAGATCATTTTGTCTATTAGGAGTTGATCTTTTGTTCCTCTGCTATTGGGGCGGTTTCCTTTCTGCTCAGGTGGAAAGAGATTGTTTTCAACTAGATGCTGTTGCACTGCATCAGCTACTACACCAGTTAGTAATTTGAAAGTTGTTGGTAAGCAGGTAATTGGCCTGTAGTTACCTGGTGTTGCCCCTTTTGCTGGATTTTTCATTATTAGGTAGGTTTTCCCAGTTGTTAGCCACTTTTCAATTTCTCCTCCTTGTAGTATATTGTTGAACTGTTTGGCAATGAGTGGGTGTATAACAGTTAGATGTTATTATTATTATTATTATTATTATTATCGATCATCGCACAGTCAGCCAGATGTTCAGACTGGATTTGGCGTATCTACCTATCGAGTCCTTACCCAGGACCTGGGATAGGCAGATGTGGAAGTTTGATGGTATTACAGATATTGTCGCAGGATGGAAGCAGTTCCTAGTAAGGCCTCCTTTTGCAATATTATTATTATTATTATTATTATTATTATTATTATTATTATTATTATTATTACATTGAAGGGTCCAGTGGCTGGACAGGCAGCTGCCCAGCGCAACCGATACATTCCTTCCAAATCTTATTTTAAATTTAGAGTGCTGCTCTTCTCACAGCAGCGAGTCCGGGAGGCGTGCCGAGGTTCGAAACCAACACATAGTCTCTCAGATGGAATGTTGTTGTTTTTATTATTTGCCCCCAAAATTCAACTTTAACCCATCGCTACCTCAAACGAAGCAATCCACCAACAGAGCAAGTTCACGCCACAAATTCCGTCAACTTTATTGCGCGAAAAGCTTCATGCGCGTACTTATTTCTAAGCTCACCGGGTAAAATTGCAAAGCCTATCCTACAGTTCATCAGACTTGAGAAGTTGATGTTGGGTGAAGTTCAATTCCCAGAATTCTTCGGGCAGGCCAGACTGGGTGAGGAATTCTGGGAATTGAAATCCACCGATCTTCAAGCTGGCAAGGTTGAGAAACATTGTTATATACGGGCACTGCTCGAGTTAAGACCACAGTGGAGCCCAACATATCTGTTGCTAAGTGAAACATTTGTTAAGTGAGTTTTGCCCCATTTGTATGACCGTCGTTGCCACCGTTGTGACCTGAATCACTACACCGAAGTTAGTAACACGGATGTTGAGTAACTCTAGCTTCCCCGTTAATTTTGCTTTTCAGAAGGTTACAAACGGAGGAGGAGGAGGAGGAGGAGAAAAAGAAAAAGAGAAAAAGGAAGAAGAAAAAGAAGAAGGAGGAGGAGCAAGAGAAGGAATAGGAGGAGGAGCAGGAGGAGGAGGACTGTGGGGTCCTTGGTGCTCTCTGAGCTTGGCTGTTTTCTTGCAGACGTTTCATGACCCAACTAGGGAACAACATCAGTGCTAGGAGGGAGGGGGGGAGAAGGAAGAGAAGGAGGAGGACTGTGGGGTCCTGGGTGCTCTCTGAGCTTGGCTGTTTTCGTGCAGACGTTTCATGACCCAACTAGGGAACAACATCAGTGCTAGGGAGGAGGAGGAGAAGGAGGACTGTGGGGGTCCCTGGTGCTCTCTGAGCTGAGTGGTTTGCTTGCAGACGTTTCGTGACCCAACTAGGCAACATCACTAGTGCTAGAAGGGAGGAGGAGGAGCATGAAGAGGAGGAAGAAAAAGACTGTGAGGTCCTTGATGCTCTCTGAGCTGGGTGGTTTTCTTGCAAACATTTCATGACCTAACTAGGGAACATCATCTGTGCTAGAAGGGAGGAGGAGGAGGACTGTGTGGGTCTTTGCTGCTCTCTGAGCTGGGTGGTTTTCCTGCAGACGTTTCATGACCCAACTAGGTGACATCATCAGTGCTAGAAGGAAGGAGGAGGACTGTGGGGGTCCTTGGTGCTTCTCTGGGCTGGGTGGTTTTCTTGCAGAGGTTTCATGACCCAACTGGGCAACATCACCAGTGCTAGAAGGGAGGAGGAGGAAGAAGAGGACTGTGGAGTCCTTGCTGCTCTGTGAAAATGGTGGTCTTGCAGATGTTTCATGACCCAGCTAGGGAACATCATCAGGGCTAGAAGGGGGAGGAGGAGGAAGAGGAGGAGGAGGAGATAACGATGGTGATCTGTCTGGGCTAAGCTTTCTGAAGGTGCTGGATAACATTCTCTGAGAACATCTGTGCTGCCGTAAATGAGACGCAGGCAAAATTCTGCCTCCGTTAAGCGGGTCAGAGCACTCCTCCCTCCCTCCCTCCCTCCTGGTGATTCCTCTCCTCATATGTTCCTTAGTGGCACCTCCTCTTCCTTTACTTCCTCCAGTGTAGACGAGCGATTCAGTACTTGGATCATCCACTTCCTTATTTTCAACACTAGAGGAAGAGGGAAGCCAAGAAACAAGCGATTAGTACAAATAACACACTAAGCCAGGGGTGGCGAACCTATGGCACGCGTGCCAGAGGCGGCACTCGGAGCCCTCTCTGTGGGCACGTGCGCCATGCCCTGGAGATGGCAACCGTCCCTCTTCAACCAGCCACCTGCTAATTCGCTGAAGTCCCATGTGGCTGGATGCATCCCAGCACCCATGCGCTCGCTGGCCTCTGTGTGCGGGGGCCGATGGTGTCAGGCAGCAGGCGCCCCGGCCCCTGCCTCGCTTTACCCTGTGACAATGGCACCCCCGCCCTGCCTCTCCTTGCCTCGCCTCAACCCACAGAACCAGCCTCCTGCCCACTGCCCCATCTGCCAGAGACCCCTGGATCTCCCCCAACCCTGCCCAGCCCCCACAGGTGTCCCTCCCCACGAGCAACATCGAGGTGATCATGCCCACCTTGGGCACGCCCACCCAATCTGCCATGACCACCACAGCCACACCTACCCAGTGGGCCACGCCCACCTGGCACCCAGCGATAAGTAAGTGGGTTTTGGGTTGCAGTTTGGGCACTCGGTCTCTAAAAGGTTCGCCATCACTGTTCTATTCTATTCTATTCTATTCTATTCTATTCTATTCTATTCTATTCTATTTTATTCTATATTCTGTTCCGTTCTATTCTAGTCTACTCTAGTCTAAAGTATGGCCTTACCAAGGCCTTGTAAAGTGGTATTAACCCGTCACTTGATTCTGTCCGTCTGTTAATGCAGCCTAGGATTGTGATGGCTTTTTTTGGCAGCTGCAGCACACGGCTGGCTCCTATTTAAGGGTCAGGATCTACTAGGACTCCAAGATCCCTCTCACAGTTACTGCTATTGAGTCAGGTTCCACCTATTCCGTATCTTCAAGGCTATTCAACAAAACCCAACCCACAGCTTAGAAAGTCATTTGTCTGAAATGGTGTAGGGCTTCCTGCCTGAGCAAGGGGTTGGACTAGATGACCTCCAAGGTCCCTTCCAACTTTATTATTATTATTATATGGATCATTGCACAGTCAACCAGATGTTCAGACTGGATTTGGCATTTTGTCTACCTATCGAGTCCTTACCCAGGACCTGGGATAGGCAGATGTGGATGTTTGATGGTATTACAGGTATCGTCGCAGGATGGAAGCAGTTCCTAATAAGGCCGCCTTTTGCAATTGACTAATAGCAAATTTGTCAATGCCAATGGTGTTCACGTGGTGCTCCAGTTGTTTTGGGATTGCACCCAAGGAGCCTATCACTATTGGTACTACCCTTGCTTGCTTTTGCCACAGTCTTTCTATTTCTATTTGTAAGTCTTTGTATTTTGTTATTTTCTCCAGTTCTTTCTCTTCTATTCTGCTATCTCCAGGCACTGCCACGTCCACTATCCAGACTTTTTTGTCTTTCTTATCGACAATTGTTAAGTCTGGGGTGTTATGTTGCAGGTGCTTGTCTGTTTGAATTCTGAAGTCCCAGAGCAGTTTAATTTTATCATTTTCTATGACTTTCTCTATTTTATGATCCCACCCAGTTTTTGCTTACAGGCAAATGATATTTTTTGCAGATCTTCCAATGCACCATTGTTGCTACTTTGTCATGCCGCTGCTTGTACTCAGTCTGTGCAATCTTCTTGCAACAGCTTACCAGGTGGTCCACTGTTTCTTCAGCTTCTTTGCATAGGCGGCACTTACTGTCTATTGCTGTCTTCTCAATTTTGACGTTGTATGCATTTGTCCTTAAGGCTTGGTCTTGTGCAGCCAGAATTAGTCCCTCGGTCTCTTTCTTCAATTTTCCTGCTCTTAGCCATTGCCAGGTTTTATTATTATCTGCTTTCCCAGCTATTTTTTTTCATGTATCGGCCATGTAGTGCTTTGTCTTCCCATGCCTCTATTCTGTTCTTCATTTGGTCTTTCTTGTAGGCCAGTTTGGTCTCTCCAGTAGTTAGTAAACCTTCCTGATATACTAATTATTATTATTATTATTATTATTATTATTATTATTATTATTATTATTATTATTAATCATTGCACAGTCAGCCAGATGTTCAGACTGGATTTGGCATTTTGTCTACCTATCAAGTCCTTACCCAGGACCTGGGATAGGCAGATGTGGATGTTTGATGGTATTACAGATCTCGTCGCAGGATGGAAGCAGTTCCTAGTAAGGCCGCCTTTTGCAATTGACTAATAGCGAATTTGTCAGTGCCAATGGTGTTCAAGTGGTGCTCCAGTTGTTTTGAGATTGCACCCAAGGAGCCTATTACTATTGTTGTTGTTGTTGTTGTTATTATTATTATTATTATTAGTGTGGAGGCCCACTCCTCACACCACTGTTGCGCCGTTCTTACCTGCTGACTTCTCCAGAAAGGTATTTTCCACGGGTTCTTCGCTGATGACGCTGATTTTTTCGTCCCAGTCTTTCCAGTTAAACTCTACTACTCTAAAAAACAGACCCCAATAATAATTAACAGGACACGCAAGTCCTTTTGCTTACGACTACCATTGAGCCCAAATTTCCCACTGCTAAGCCAGACAGTTGTGAAGGGAGTTGCACCCCCCCCCCTTTTTAAAACATTTTGGCCACGGCGGTTAAGTAAATCGTGACAGCCATTAAGCAAATTGTGCAGTTGTTAAGTGAATCGGCCTTTGACTTTCCTTGTGAGAAGGTTGCAAAAGGGCATTGACACGGTTCCGACAGATGATACTCGTCAAAGACCTTCGAGGCATTGTCTCGAATAAAGATTGTTTAAGGTAAACAATGCCTCAAAGTTCTTTGAAGAATATCATCTGTCGGAACCATGACATTAAGCCAAAACCTGAATTCCCCTCCCCTGAGCACATAGTGTCAAAGCACAATTCCCTCCTCCAATTAACCGTCATAAATCACATTCCCCAATTAGTTTGAAATGTTTCCTCCAGTTCTCCAGAACCGGCCATTTCTTATCATCTCTTATTTCAATAACCTTGGTTCTCACACTAGTTACAATATTGTTATGTCTAACTAAACTCCCATGCACAATCCTCCTCCTCCCCCCCCCCAATATCATCTAATTCTAACTCTAATTCTAAGAGTAAAACATAAGAAGGAAAATGGCTGCATCTCCATATGTTGTCAAAGCTTGTGGTTAAGCTTACCTTAAAAAACACCTCTCGTCTGTATTGTGCTGGGAGACGACGGAGCGGAAACAGTCGGCTTTCTGAGTCTTCTTCCAGCACCAGATCCAGCTTCTCTCTAACTCCAGAATAGCAATGGCTCTCTGCAAATAGGGAATGGTCGGTGAAGAGAGCTTATAAATCAGAGAGGGGGAGGGAGGGAGGGAGGGAGGGAGGGAGGAGAGATAGAGATGGATAGATACTAATACCAACACAAAAGAATATTTTATCTCAGGATTGAACTGTGGGGTCCTTGGTGCCCTCTGAGCTGGGTGGTTTTCTTGCAGACATTTCAAGACCCAACTAGGAAACATCATCAGTGCTAGAAGGGAGTGGGATTTGCAGAGGAGGAGGGGGGGAGGAGGACTGTGGGGTCCTTGGTGCTGTCTCAGCTTGATTGTTTTCTTGCAGACATTTCATTACCCAACCAGGTAACATCATCTGTGCTAGAAGGGAATGCGGATTGCAGACAGGAGGATGGTGAGGGTGAAGGGGTGGAGGGGGAAGAGGAGGAGGAAAAAGAGGGGAAAAGAAGGATTCCTTGGTGCTCTATAAGCTTGGTGGTTTTTCCTGCAGATGTTTTTATGACCTGACTAGGTAACATCATCAGTGTTAGAAGGAGTGGAGTTTTCAGGGAGGAGGAGGAGGGGGGGGAGGACTGTGGGGTCCTTGATGCTCTCTGAGCTTGGTTGTTTTCTTGCAGACATTTCATGACCCAACTGGGTAACATTATCAGAGGTACAAAGGAGTGGGTTTGTGGAGTTGGGGAGGAGGAGGAGGAGGAAGAAGAAGAGGAGGTGGAGGAGGAGGAGGAGGAGGATTGTGAGGTCCTTGGTGTTCTCTAAGCTTGGTTCTTTTCTTGCAGACATTTCATCATCCAATTAGGTATCATAAAACAATCAAACAGTAAACAACAACCGAATCAAGGAACTATCAAGAAGAAAACAACACTCCTAATAACACTGAAAGGGCAAGCCACTGGTATATAAACAGAGGGAGCACAACCCCCCCCCATCTTTTAGTACTGATGATGTTACCTAGTTGGGTCATGAAACGTCTGCAAGAAGACCACCCGGCTCAGAGAGCAGCGGTTGAACCCTGAGCTTACAAATATTCTCTTCTACCAAGTCTTTGAATCTGGTTCCATTTAAGCCACGGCTGGGCCAGAAATGGCCACCGTCCCGATCGAAGGGGCCTTACCTGCAACTGCCAGACGCTCTGGCTGTACCCGGAGACGTTGGTAACGGTTTCACTCATCAGGGCAATCAGCATGTTGAGCAAGAGGATGTAGGTCAAGATGACGAAGAGGAGGACCAACAGCATGGCCACGTCGCTGTGCTTCAACTTCTCGTTGTACTCCAGGTCGCCCATGCCGATGGTGAACCTGAAGAGCTCCAGGGCAGTTTGAAGCAGCCCCGAATATACGGCCTGGTCTTTAGAGTCGTCGCTGAGCGGGAGGGACTCGTTGAGGGCGGGATGGGAAGCGTCCCCGGTGAGAATGACGAGAGCTGCAAGGAGTCATTGGAAGTTTCAGCCCTTCCTCCGCGCAACTTTTGGGCAACCTTTTCCGTTTAAGGGACAGGAGACCCAAAGTGGCTGGTTGATCTTTGGAGGCCCCGCTACTTGTTCAATTGATCCTATTGTTAAATTTGTACTTGCATCAAGATCCCAAGAAATCTGAGCATAGAACATGTGAAAGGCTGTTTTGACATAGCTGTTCGTGTAAAGAAAAACCAGGTGCTGATTTTGTGTGATGTATAGAAGGGCAGACAAGGTGGTCTCTGGTTTCTGATTGTGTGTCCTTCACCCATTCATCCTCTCATTTATTCATTCACTCATTCGTTCATTCACTCGTTCGCTCATTTAGTCCTTCGTTCTCTCACTCCTTTACTCCTTCACTCATTTTCAGACATTCATTCACTCATTCATTCTTTCATTTTGTTCACTCATTCACTCATTCATTCACTCTCATCCATTCATTCATTCATTCATTCTCTCATTCATTCACTCATTTATTTTGTGCACTTTTTTGCTCACTCATTCATTGACTCAGTCGTTCACTCACTTATTTATCCACCCATCCACTGATTCATTCATTTAGTCATTCGTTCCCTCTTTCACTCACTTGTTCACTTATTCATCCCCATTCATTCATTCTCTCACTCACTCATTTATTCATCTTTCATCCATCCACTCATTCATTCATCCACTCATTCATTCACTCTCTTGTTCATTCATTAATTCATTTTTATTTAAAAAGTTTTATTAATAATTAACAAAATAAACCCATTAACCCACCCATCCCCACCCCCCCTACCTCCCATTTCCCAGAGCCGAGTACAGGGTTATGACAAACATATTAAACATAATCTAATTAAATTTAACAAATATATTAAACATAATCTAATTCATTTTGTTTGCTCTTTCACTCTCTTATTCACTCTCATCCATTCATTCATTCATTCTCTCATTTATTCATTCACTCGTTCATTTTGTTCGCTTGTTCACTCATTCATTGACTCAGTCGTTCACTCACTTATTCATCCACCATCCAGTCATTCATTCATTTAGTCACTCGTTCACTCATTCATTCATCCACTCATTCATTCATTTCCTCATTCATTCATTTCATTTCTATGACCACCCCCATGCAAATGGCTCTTGACTATCTCCAAGCCTATCTTAACTTAATAATAATAATATAAAGTTGGAAGGGACTTTAGAGGTCATCTAGTCCAACCCCCTACTCAGGCAGGAAACCCTATACCATTTCAGACAAATGGCTATCCAGACTCTTCTTAAAAACTTCCAGTATTGCAGCATTCACCGCTTCTGGAGGCAGGTTGTTCCACTGGTTAATTGTTCTCACTGTCAGGAAGTTTCTCCTTAGTTCCAGGTTGCTTCTCTCCTTGATCAGTTTCCATCCGTTGCTTCTTGTCCTGCCCTCAGGCGCTTTGGAGAATAGCTTGACTCCCTCTTCTTTGGGGCAGCCCCTGAGATACTGGAAGGCTGCTATCATGACTCCCCTCATCCTTCTCTTTATTAGACTAGACATTTGGGCGGGGGGGGGGGTGATAAATGTTTGTGAATACTACTATGTATACATTATGGTGAGCAATTCTTTGATTTTAGTTTCACCCTGAGAGATTGAAACAAACCTGGCTTAAGTTAACTTGGCTAGGCTCACCTGTGCCTCCCCTCACCATGACACTCACCTAAGGCAAAGCCCAATAGGAAGATCACATAAACCATCAGGAAATGCAGAAGGTCCTTGAAGATGGCCTGGAAGGTGAATGAGAAACAATGTGTAGATCGGGGATTTTCAAACAACTCGGCACCTGACAATGAGCCCTATCCAACAACATGAAATTTAATGTAGAGAAAAGCAAAGTTTTACATTTAGGCAGGAAAAACCAAAGGTCCTGGTACAGATTAGGCAAAACCTGGTGCAAAAACAACAACTGAGAGAGGGACCTCGGAGTCTTAGTGTAGAATTTCCCAACTTTTCCAGCTTTGTGGACTGGGTGTGTGTGTGTGTATGAGGAAGAGGGGATGGCTCTGCATGAGCGGCAGGCAACCATGCACGCACGCAGCTCCTTTTGTGTGAGCAGCAGGCAAGAGTGCATGCAGCTCCATTTGCAAAAGTGGCATAGACTAGTTGTAGGTCGATGTGTCTGTTGGTCAGTAAATGAAATATAATAATAATAATAATAATAATAATTATTATTATTATTATTATTATTATTAGTCAATTACAAAAGGCGGCCTTACTAGGAACTGCTTCCATCCTGCGACGATATCTGTAATACCATCAAACATCCACATCTGCCTATCCCAGGTCCTGGGTAAGGACTCGATAGGTAGACAAAATGCCAAATCCAGTCTGAACATCTGGCTGACTGTGCGATGATCCATAATTATTATTATTATTATTATTATTAAACAAAATTATTAATAATAAACTGCTCTGGGACTTCAGAATTCAAACAGACAAGCACTTGCAACATAACACCCCAGACTTAACAATTGTTGATAAGAAAGACAAAAAAGTCTGGATAGTGGACGTGGTAGTGCCTGGAGACAGCAGAATAGAAGAGAAAGAGCTGGAGAAGATAACAAAATACAAAGACCTACAAATAGAAATAGAAAGACTGTGGCAAAAGCAAGCAAGGGTAGTACCAATAGTCATAGGCTCCTTGGGTGCAATCTCAAAACAACTGGAGCACCACTTGAACACCATCACCGGCATTGACAAATTCGCTATTAGTCAATTGCAAAAGGCGGCCTTACTAGGAACTGCTTCCATCCTGCGACAATACCTGTAATACCATCAAACATCCACATCTGCCCATCCCAGGTTCTGGGTAAAGACTCGATAGGTAGACAAAATGCCAAATCCAGTCTGAACATCTGGCTGACTGTGCGATGATCCATAATAATAATAATAATGTTGGAAGGAACCTTGGAGGTCATCTAGTCCAACCACCTGCTCAGGTAGGTAACCCGCCTATACCATTTCAGACAAATGGCTGTCCAGTCTCTTCTTAAAAACTTCCAGTGTTGGAGCATTCACCGCTTCTGGAGGCAGGTGGTTCCACTGGTTAATTGTTCTAACTGTCAGGAAGTTTCTCCTTAGTTCCAGGTTGCTTCTCTCCTTGATTAGTTTCCACCCGTTGCTTCTTCTCCTGCCTTCAGGCGCTTTGGAGAATAGCTCCTTTTCTCTGGGGCAGCCCCTGAGATCCTGGAACACTGCTATCATGTCCCCCCTCGTCCTTCTCTTCATTAAACTAGACATCCCCAATTCTAGCAACCGTTCCTTATATGCTTTAGCCTCCAGTCCCCTAATCATCTTTGTTGCTCTTCTCTGCACTCTTTCTAAAGTCTCAACATCTTTTTTACATCGTGGTGACCAAAACTCGATGCAGCATTCCAAGTGTGGCCTTACCAAGGCCTTGTAAAGTGGTATTAATACTTCACATGATCTTGATTCTCTCCCTCTGTTAATGCAGCCTAGCCCTGTGTTGGCCTTTTTGGCAGCTGCAGCACACGGCTGGCTCCTGTTTAAGGGATTGTCCACTAGGACTCCGAGATCCCTCTCACAGTTGCTCTATAAGTCGAGGACTATCTGTGTTTGAAAAAAAAAAGTTATCCGGTTGTGTGATCTACCTTCTGGATCATCACGATGTAGATCCCCGTCTGCTGGAGACCTCGGGTATAGTAGAGCATGTTCACCCAGCCCAAAAGCAAGGCAAACACCATGGGCAGCACATAGTCCTCCATCTTTGCAAAGTACATCACGGATGAGGCCAGCATCGTACACGCTTGCACAAACCTGCAAAGGCCAGAGACAGAAAGAGAAGCAGCGCTGAGTTAGTGGGGGTATACTGTGAGAAAGGCCTTGACAGAGGAAGAGATGCTGTTTAGGGCATGTTCAGGTACGAGAAGGCAGGGCCTACAGCTGCATAACGGGCAGAGAAAGAAACACAGACAGGAAGCTCCCTTGTTTCTCAGATGGTTCAAAGAAACAATGGGAGATTTGTATTTTCAGACTTGCAAGATTCAGTTAATGGAACTGTACAATAAAGTAGAATTATCTCATCTGGCGGTGTTTTCTGGCTGGTTTACCAGAGGCATGAAAGCCAAATGGTGACTTTGAGCCAATCACCAGGAGACAGTGAATTCTAGTCCCGCCTTAGGCCTGAAAGCCACCTGGGTGACTTTGGGCCAATCACCAGGAGAAGGTGAGTGCTAGACCCGCCTTAGCCATGAAAGCCAGCTGGGTGACTTTGGGCGAATCACCAGGAGACGGTGAGTTCTAGTCCCGCCTTAGCCATAAAAACTAGCTGGGTGACTTTGGGCCAATCACCAGGAGACAGGGAGTTCTAGTCCCGTCTGAGCCACAAAAGCCAGCTGGATGACTTTGGGCCAATCATCAGGGGACTGTGAGTTCTAGTCCCGCCTTAGCCATGAAAGCCAGCTGGGTGACTTTGGGTCAATTACTAAGAGACAGTGAGTTCTAGTCCCGCCTTAGCCATAAAAACTAGCTGGGTGACTTTGGGCCAATCACCAGGAGACAGGGAGTTCTAGTCCCATCTGAGCCACAAAAGCCAGCTGGGTGACTTTGGGCCAATCACCAGGAGACAGTGAATTCTAGTCCCGCCTTAGGCACGAAAGCCAGTTGGGTGACTTTGGGCCAATCACCAGGAGACGGTGAGTTCTAATCCCGCCTTAGGCATGAAAGCCAGTTGGGTGACTTTGTGCCAATCACCAGGAGACGGTGAGTTCTAGTCCTGCCTTTGACATGAAAGCTGACTAGCTGACCTTGGGTCAGTCAATCTCTCTGTCAGCCAAATCCACCTCACAGGGTTGTTGTTATAGGTAAAATAGGAGGAAGAAGGAATACAATATTACGTATGTTCACTGCCTTGAATTATCTATTAAAAACAATAAACATGGGATAAAAATAAATAAAAAATAAATATGAGGAGAATGTAACAGGAGCATTTCTGAAAAGCAAAGATGACTGACAATAAGAAACGACAGCGGTTAGGATTTGGAATCGATTACAGATAGTGCTCAATTTACGACCACCACTGTCCCCAAAATTCTTGATTTTAGAAATGAGCCACTGACTTATTTTCCAGTGCACCAGAAGGCAGGACAAGAAACAAAGGATGGAAACTTATCAAGGAGAGAAGCAACCTGGAATTAAGGAGAAACGTCCTGACAGTGAAGACAATTAACCAGTGGAACAGCTGGCCACCAGAAGTTGTGGGTGCTTCATCACTGCAGGTTTTTAAGAAAAGACTGGACAGCCATCTATCTGAAATGGTACAGGCCTCTTGCTTGAGCAAGGGGTTGGACTAGAAGACCTCCAAGGTCCCTTCCAGTTCTATTCTGATTGATTGATTGATTGATTGAATCCCTCCATAAAAACAGCAATGTATACGCACGTACAGGAATATCTCGAAGCATCTATCCACTAGAAGACTTTTCAAAGAGAAGCGTCTTCTCCAGAAGTGAACACTCTAAAAGGGAATAAATAAGAATAGAAATCAGAAAACTGTGCAGTCTTCCAGTATCTCAGGGGCTGCCCCAAAGAAGAGGGAGTCAAGCTGTTTTTCAAAGCACCTGAAGGCAGGACAAGAAGCAACGGATGGAAACTAACCAAGGAGAGAAGCAACCTAGAACTAAGGAGAAACTTCCTGACAGGTAGAACAATTAACCAGTGGAACAACCTGCCTCCAGAAGCCTGTGAATGCTCCATCACTGGAAGTTTTTAAGAAGAGACTGGGCAGCCATTTGTCCGAAATGGTATAGGGTTTCCTGCCTGAGCAGGGGGTTGGACTTGATGACCTCCAAGGTCCCTTCCAACTTTATTATTATTATTATTACTGTATTATGATAGGGATATGGGAAGAGGTGTGCAAAACCCGGTTCACATGGGCCATTTGTTAATTTGGAGGGAATTTTGAGAGCAGAGCTGAGCTACGTCCACCTAGGGTGTCATTGCGCCATGCCACAGCTCAACAATTTAACATGGATTAACAACAGATCCCATCTTACCCCTGCCTCCCCTCTTTAATTGAATGGTAGTGTTTGGCTTGTTTTAATTTATTTATGTTCTTCTACAGATGGTCCTCAACTTACAACAGTTCGTTTAGTGACCATTCCAAGTTTCCACGGTGCGGAAAAAAGCGACTTAGAACTGTTTTTCACACTTAAGGACTGTTGCGGCATCCTTAGGGTCACATGATCAAAATTCAGCCACTTGGCAACTGACTCATATTTACGACGGTTGGAATGTCCCGTTTTCACAACAATTTCACACCTGTGGATTGGCCTGTTCAAACCGGCCGAATGGACAGTTGGGATGAGGTTTTGCATTGTCTCTTTTAAGAAGAGACGGGACAGCCATTTGTCCGAAATGGTATAGGGTTTCCTGCCTGAGCAGGGGGATTGGACTAGATGACCTCCAAGGTCCCTTCTAACTTATTATTATTATTATTATTATTATTATTATTATCTATTGATTCCAGCGGGGAACCTTCAGATCCTGCTTTCTTCTGCTGCTGTCAATACCTGCCAATAAAAGTTCCTTTGGAAATGATGCCTGTTTCAAGAATTCTGCTTTCTTGGGAGGCTTCATTGAGGCAGGCCCTTACAGGTAGTCCTCAATGTACGACCACGATAGGAACCGGAAAATACATCCTTAAGCAGTGCAGCTGTTAAGGGAGACACCACAACTTGCTACCACCTTCGCTGCTGGCTTCCCAAACTGACTTTTCTTGTCAAGAGGCTGCTGGGAAGGTCACAAATGGTGATCACGTGACTATGGGATGTTGTGACCGTCGTAAATGCTCAATGGATGACAAGCGTCCAAATCCTGAGCATGTGATTGCTGGGATGCAGCTATGGTCATAAGTACGGGGTAAGTCGCTGGTTGTAAGTCACCTTTTTCAGCGCTGTCGTAACTTCAAGCGGTTGCTAAATGAACAGTCGTATGTTGGGGACTGCCCGTAGGTGGAGTTATAGAAAGCACAGCACCATTTGTAGAAGAGGCCTTCCATCTTGACCATAATTGGGACTGCAATATCCGTTGCTAAGCAAGGCGGTTCTTAGCTGAGTCGGTGAGCCTGAGTTTATGACCTTTTTTTGGCACCATTAAGCAAATCGCTCACTGTGAATCATGTGGTCGTTAAGTGAATCTAGCTTCCCCCAGTGACTGCTTGTCAGAAGGTCGCAAATGGTGGTCATGTGACCCCAGGATGTTGCAACCACCACAAAAACACACTGTTAGCTAAGTGTCTGGATTTTGATCAGGTGACCCTGGGGATACAGCAATGGTCGTAAGTGCGAGCGTCTATTGTAGATCACTTTTTTCAATGCCGTCTTAACTCGGAATGGTTGTTAAACGGATGGTTGTCAAGGACTATCTATATGGTATACTAAAAAATTCATTTGTGGTCAGAGGTATGTAAACAAAAAGAAAAACCTACCTGAGTAATGAAGAAATAAATACCACCAATTAAAACGATCACTGGCCCAACAACGTCCTCAAATGTCATTGTTGTTGGAACAAAAGGCTGTAAACATAGGAAGAGAACAGGCTATGAACAGAGACATCAGCACCGAGGAGATGGCAGATCCTTCAGGTCGGTGTTCCTCAACATTGGTGCCTTTCAGATGGATGGACTTCAACTCCCAGAATCCCCCAGCCCGCATGCTGGGGAAGTTAAAGCCCACAAGTCTTAAACTGGCCAAGATTGGACACACCTGGTCTAGATCTTTTACATTTCATCTGAAGTATCTACTAAGATATAAGTATATAAATACAGTGAGCGCTTATGCACCTGAGACAAATTGTGTGCCCAATCACACTTGGTCAATAAAGAATTCTATTCTATTCTATTCTATTCTATTCTATTCTATTCTATTCATTATTCTATTCTATACTCTACTCTACTCTACTCTACTCTACTCTACTCTACTCTACTCTACTCCTCTACTCTACTCTATTCTATTCTATTCCATTCTATTCCATATTTTCTATTCTATTCTATTCTATTCTATTCTATTCTATTCCATTCCATTCCATTCTATTCCATATTTTCTATTATTCTATTCTATTCTATTCTATTCTATTCTATTCTATTCTATTCTATTCTATTCTATTCTATTCTATTCCATTCCATTCCATTCCATTCCATTCTATTCTATTCTATTCTATTCTATTCCATTCCATTCCATTCTATTCTATCAAAGATGATGGAATTGGGTACGGCTAGTTTAAGGAAAAGAAAGACTAAGGGTGATATGATAGCAGAATTTCAGTACTGTATTTGGGGGCCTGCCACAAAGAAGGGGGGAGTCACCCTATTTTCCAAAGCACCAGAAGGCTTCTATTCACTATTCTATTCTATTCTAATTCTATTCTATTCTATTATATTCTGTTCTGTTCATTATGCTATTCCATTCTATGCTATTCTATTCATTATGCTATTCTATTTATTTTTCTATTCTATTCTATTCTATTCTATTCTATTCTATTCTATTCTATTCTATTCTATTCTATTCTATTCCATTCCATTCCATTCCATTCCATTCCATTCTACCAAAGATGATGGAATTGGGTATGTCTAGTTTAAGGAAAAGAAAGACTAAGGGGATATGATAGCAGAATTCCAGTAACGTGTTTGGAGGGGGTACCACAAAGAAGGGAGGGGGAATCACCCTATTTTCCAAAGCACCAGAAGGCAAGACAAGAAACAACAGATGGAAACTAATCAAGGAGAAAAGCAACCTAGAACTAAGGAGAAACTTCCTGACAGTGAGAACAATTAACCAGTGGAACTCCTTGCCTCCAGAAGTTGTGAATGCTCCAACATTGGAAGTTTTTAAGAAGAGACTGGACAGTCATTTGTCTGAAATTGTGTAGGGTTTCCTGCCTGAGCAGGGGGTTGGACTACACCTCCTGGTCTTTTCCAACTCTGTTCTGTTCTGTTCTTTATACCCAAAGCATCCATTTGTTTAAAGACTATTTACCTCACGCTTTGGAGGCTGGAAGTAAGCAGTGGTTGTGAAGGCCAGCATGAAAATCAGGTGGAAGCATAAACTGAAGATAAACCTTTTTTTAATGAAAAATTCCCATTTGTGCTGAAGTAGGTTGTTCAAAGGCTCCAGGACCACCATTTTGTACCGGTTCTGTGGAGGGAGAATGGCAGGGAATTGAGCAGCTGCTGGTGTACAAAATGGAGTCAGAGATGATGACACAAACTTATAGTTTTATGTAAATAAATATGTTTTACATCTAAATAGATGCAGCAAACTAAATAGGCAAGCGGGTATCATGAGGTAAATCAATACAGCAGGCACATCATGAGGTAAATCACAGAGCACAAAAGGGCACACAGAAGAAAAAGGCGGGAAAAAAGGGAACCTCCCTCTCCACACCCACAGCAGCCAATCACAGCACAGATTGCCTCACGCAGGAGCCAGCACTCTCCAATCAATTACAACTGTGGGTTCTGCCACACTGCTCCACAGCTCCAACTACTAAATTGTTAAATATCTTAACAAATTTCTACTGCTTCTCTGAGGAATTTACAAGCAAGATTATTCCATCACTGAATAGTACAGATTGTCCTCAATACCCACAGCAACCAGGAAGGGGGGGGGAGGAGAAGGAGGTGGAGGAGGAGAAGAAAGAGGAGAAGATGAAGAAAGGAAGAGGAAAAGAAGAAAGAGAAGAAGAAAGGAGGAGGGGATGAAGAAAGGAGGAGGAGAAGAAGGAGAAGAAAGAGGAAAAGGAGGAGGAGAAAGGGAAGAAGAAAGGAGGAGGAGGAGGAGGAGAAGAAAGGAGGCAATGAAAGGAGGAGAAGAAAGAGGAGGTAATGAAGAAAGCAAGAGAAGAAGAAAGGAGGAGAAGGAGGTTGTGAACAAAGAAGAAGGAGGAGGAGAAAAAGAAGAAAGAGGAGGAAGAAAAGAAGAGAAGGAAAAGGAGGGGGAGGAGAACAAAGAGAAGGAGGAGGAGGAGATCTCGGTGCTGAAAGGAGGAATTTCAGGGCAGAGAACATCCTGAGAAGATCCCTCCTTAACTGAATCTACTCACTGGAGTGTCGCTGTTGTAGGCCAGGATCTCCAGTGCTGAGTTCTTCTCACAAGTGTCAATGGAGGTCAGATCATAGAGGGAAGTGTGGATGGGACCATAAGTCCACTCAGTCAGCTTGCGCGAAAGGTCCTGGAACTCGGGAATCTCTCGGTGGAGAATGTGCTTGAGGATCTGGAGAGACCAAAACAGTTGAGCTGGAGTGTCTCTGGGGGTGGGTCACAAAAGCCAAGATGGTCTCATTGTCTAACCACCAAGTGGACATGGGGTGAATCATGCCATCATTAAGTGAATCTGGCTTTCCCCCATTGATTTTGCTTGTTGGAAATGCTGGGAAAGTCACAAATGGTAATCGCATGAACCCGGGACTCTGCAACTGTTTTAAATACAGGCTGGTTGCTAAGCGATGAAACTTTAATCACATGACCATGGAGATCCTACAAGGGTTGGCCGTAAATCATTTTTTTCAATGCCGTTGTAACTTCAAACAATTACTAAACAAATGGCTGTAAGTTGAGTACTACCTGTCCTGGTGAAGGGGGAGATTACCTCGACTTTCCCAGTCTTGACAGCCAGAGTCAAAGGGGTCAGCTGTTCCCTGTTGACAATCTCTTCCAACTTGCAGGAAGGGTGGATCTCAATTGCTTTCTTCAGGATCTCGTCGTACATCTTAACCACGACCTCGGTGTTCTTCTCCATGTCATTGGCCACCATCACCAATGCATGGAGGACGGTGTTGCCCATGGAATCCTGTTCGGTCAATCTGGCCTTCTGGTACGGGTTATCCAGGAGGTACTTGACCATTTCTAGCTGGTTGGTACAAGCAGCCAAGGACAGAGGAAGTTCACCTGGGAAAGAGAGAACAATGGGCCAAGATTGCATTGCCTTGGCCACTTGAAGACCTGTGGACTTCAACTCCCAGAATTCCCCAGCCAGCCATCTTTGAGTGGCCAAGTTTGGTCACCTCTGATCTACAGTGTCCTCTGGAGAGGGAGGATATCAAAACCCCTCCAGTGTCCTCTGGAGAGGGAGGATATCAAAACAAAGGTATCTTCAGGAGGGGTCAAAAAAGTCAAAATGGCAGCCGCAACTTCACCACGGAAGCCCTGTGATACACACAAAATACAATGCACATAAAACACAAGTGCAAATGGGCTCAAGGCTTCTAAGACAATGTCAGGCTGCCATCTTCACTGTTGGGACCCCTCCCGGGACACCCCAATTCCCTCCACCAATAGGAACCCCTGATGATCTCTAACTTTGTTTATATTAAAGATTTCAGTTTTCTCTTCAATAAGGTGACCAACTTTTTTACAATGAAAAGGAGGACACAAATAAATTGAAGAAAAAAATATTGTAAATAAAAGAAACATTTTATTTATTGCAGCAATAATACAGACAACTTGCACGTGCAAAGTTTGCCAGCCGGGTGTTTTGGCGCGCTCAGCAGCAATTCCTATTGGCTTTCAAAAGCCAATAGTGGGAGTAGCACAGCTCATGCAAAAGTTGAAAAAAAAACCCATCAAAAAAAGGTGCTGGAACGCCGTTCTGAGTGTTCGATGAGGGGAAAAAAAGCCCTGCAGATTAGTCTTTAAATGTCGAAAAGGAGGATATAAAGGTGGACACTTTTTGAGGGAGGACAGAACTTACAAAAGGAGGACTGTCCTCCCTAAAGGAGGACGGTTGGTCACCTTATCTTCAATTGTCCACTCTTTATGAAAATGGTAACTTTCCCGTGTTTAAACGTGAACCCAAAATTTCTGTTGCCAAGCGAGATTTTTGTTAAATGACTTTTGTCCCATTTTATGACCTTTCTTGCCACAGTTGTTAAGTGAATCACTGCAGGTTAAGTGAATCTGGCTTGCCTATTGACTTTGCTTGTCAGAATTTTGCAAAAGGGATCACATGATCCTGGGACACTGGGACCGTCATGAATATGAAGCAGTTGCCAAGGGCCTGAATTTCGATCATGTGATCACAAGGAAGCTACAACGATCGTAAATGTGAAAAAACGGTCATAAGTCTCTTTTTTCAGTGTCATTGTACCTTTGAACGGTCACTGAACAAACGATTGTAAGTCGAGGTCTACCTGAAAATCAGCCACAATTTTCCCCTCCCATCTCCATCCTGGCTTCTAAGGAGAACCATCTTACCCAATAAAGCTTCAAAACTTTTCCAACTACAGTGGTAACTCAGTACTCATCACTGATTACTTCCGGGAGGCACAATGAGTACCAAAAACTATGAATACCAAACACATTTTTCCCGTAAGGAATAAGGTAGTGAGTCACAAGGCAGCCGACACCAATAAGTTCTAGCTTGTACATTGAGTACCAAACAAACGATGAGTAAAATTTCGGGTTAAAATGCATTGAGTACCCAATTCGATGAGTTTCATGTAAAAACTCATCTGGCCCTAAAAATTTCACCTGACCCTAAAAATCTCCGTGGTTACCCACTTGTGTCTCTGTGGAATGAAAACTGAGTTTTCTCTTGCTAGCCATACCGAAATAAAAGCACTGCTGCTGGAAGAAAAGACCAGAAGCTTTGATGTGGACATCAGCTTCGTTCTCCATCAAGATCTTCACAAGATTTAAGTTCCTCTTCTCGATGGCGATGTGGAGGGCTGTGTGGCCTGCAGAGAAGAGATAAAATGGAGGAGGAGGAGGAGGAGGAGAAAGAGGACGAAAAAGAGGAGGAGGAAAAAAAGAAAGAGGAGAAAGGAGAAGAAGAAGGAGGAGGAGAAGGAGAAGGAGGAGGAAGAGGAGGAGGAGGAGGAGAAGGAGAAGAAGGAGAAGGAGGAGGAAGAGAAGGAGAAGGAGGAGGAGGAGGATGGAAAAAGAAGAGGAGGAAAAAAGAAAGAGGACGAGGAGAAAGGAGAAGGAGAAGAAGGAGAAGGAGAAGGAGGAGAAGAAGAAGGAGGAGAAGAGGAGGAAGAGAAGGAAAGGAGAAGGAGAAGGAGAGGAGGAGAATGAGAAGAAGAAGAAGAAGAAGAAGAAGAAGAAGAAGAAGAAGAAGAAGAAGAAGAAGAAGAAGAAGAAGAAGAAGAAGAAGAAGAAGAAGAAGGGAGGAGGAGGAGGCAAAAGAGAAGAAGACAGCAAGAGGAAGGATGGAAAAAGAATTACCCCAACTGTAGATCGACTTCCAGACACCCCACCCTACAAAGCAGAGCCCTCCCACCCTCACCATCCCAAGAAGGAGCCTTACCTTTGTAGTGGCTGTCAGTGCAAGCAGCGTTGATCAGAGGAACACGTCTGTCGGTCTCCTTGTCTATCTTCAAGAGCAAAGGGATGGTGGGGTTCATCCCGTCTTTCAAATGGAGCAAGGCCTTTATCAAACAGGTCTTTCCTGTCTCCCCATCTGGAAGAAAGAAGTCCAGAAAAGGATGCTTGGATGATGCCTGCCCCATCTTCCATCTTCCTAAAGCAGCGTTTCTCCACATTGGACACTTGAAGACACTTCAACTCCCAGAATTCCCCAGCCAACAAGGCTGACTGCGGAATTCTGGGAGTTGAAGTCCACCTATCTTCAAGTGGACAAGGTTGAGAAACATTGTTCCAGAGTCTTCCTAGGTCAGTGGTGGCGAACCTATGGCACGGGTGCCAGAGGCAGCACTCAGAGCCCTCTCTGTGGGCATGCGCGCTGTCGCCCAGTCCTAGGCCTTCAGCTGGGTTTTATAAAACCTTTTCGCTTTAGGCCTCCACCGCCGTGTGCAAAAAAAAAGGTTCAATCAACGAGTCAATTTCTCGTGGGGAAAAAAAAGATCTTGCAAAGTTGGAATTGATGGATTGAACTTTTTAGTCCCACCCAGTCTGCCATTACCACCGCAGCCACGCCCACCCAATGAGCCACACCCATCCAATTGGCCACACACATCCAATGGGCCACACCCACCCGGCACCCGACAATGCATAAGCGGGTTTGGGGTTGCAGTTTGGGCACTCGGTTGCTAAAAGGTTTGCCATCACTGCTCTAGATTCACCTTTCCCACCTTGGTACTTTCCAGGCACGGCTCCTCCCATCACGCCGTCAGCAGAACCAAGTGGCTAGGAAGATGGGAACTGTAGTCCAGCCCCATCTCTCTGTAAAGGCTCCCATTGGGGAGGATCAGCAAACTAGTTGAGGCAATTGGAGAACGGAGGAATGGAGGCAGCCATTGCTACGAACATCTGTAGAGGGCGTTTGGGCTGCCAGGGCCTAGCCCACCCAAGACCCAGCAGGATTTGGGGGCACCTGCAGCCCAAACCAGTTGCAGACAGAGGCATTCAGAGAAACAGAGAAAGCAGGATGAAAAAAAAAATAGGAAAAAGAAGCTGCAAGCACCCAGATTTAATGTAAATATCAGGAAACACTCCCTGAAGATTACCTCTCCACAACGGTGAAGGATTTGATCTTCCCGGTGTCTTATCGTCTCACTTTAGGTAGAGAACACATCTCTAGGGTGGTTGAATTGTTTTTCTGACACAATTTCTTTATTATTTATTTATTTAAAAAATATATATTGCAGAGGGGTGGACTTAATGACCCTTAAGGGATCCCTCCTGGTAGTTCTAGGACGGTCTAGGACTTCCGTGATAGACAGGGATTTCTAGGATGTGCAGGTGCCCTTGACGCTCTCTAAGCTGGAGACATTTGATGTTTCATGCCCCAAATAGGTAATGTCATCCGTGGTAGAAAGGAGTGGCTGGAGGAGGAGGAGGAGGAGGAGGAGGAGGAGGAGGAGGAGAAAATGGACTATGGGGTCCTTGGTGCTCTCTGGGCTGGGTGGTTTTCTTGCAGACGTTTCATGACCCAACCAGGTAACATCATCAGCACCAGAAGGGAGTGGGGTTTGTGGAGAGGAGGACGAGGAGGAGGAGGAGAAGGAGGAGGAGAAGGAGGAGGAGGAGGAGGACTGCAGGGCCCCTGGTGCTCTCTGGTGGTTTTCTTGGAGATATTTCATTACCCATCTAAAATATGAGGAGCGGTTGCTGGAATTGGGTATGTCTAGTTTAATGAAGAGAAGGACGAGGGGGGACATGATAGCAGCCTTCCAGTATTTCAGGGGCTGCCCCAAAGAAGAAGGAGTCAAGCTGTTCTCCAAAGTGCCTGAAGGCAGGACAAGAAGCAACGGGTGGAAACTCATCAAGGAGAGAAGCAACCTGGAACTAAGGAGAAACTTCCTGACAGTGAGAACAATTAACCAGTGGAACTCCTTGCCTCCAGAAGCGGTGAATGCTCCAACACTGGAAGTTTTTAAGAAGAGACTGGACAGCCATTTGTCCGAAATGGGATAGGGTTTCCTGCCTGAGCAGGGGGTTGGACTAGAAGACTCCAAGGTCCCTTCCAACTTTATTATTATTATTATTATAATAATTATTATTATTATTACTACTACTACTACTACTACTATTATTATTATTATTATTATTATTATTATTATTAATATTATTGATCATCGCACAGTAAGCCAGATGTTCAGACTGGATTTGGCATTTTGTTTACCTATCGAGTCCTTACCCAGGACCTGGCATAGGCAGATTCAGCTTGGAAACCTCTCCCTTTCCCCTCAGTGTGGCTAGCTCAGGAATTCTGGGAGTTGAAGTCCACGAGTAATAAAAGAGCCAAGGTTGCCTATCCCTGGAGTAGCCAATCAAGCTATGGCTAGTCTAGAGAAAAGAAGGATTAGGGGTGACATGATAGCACTATTCCAGTATCTGAGTGGCTGCCACAAAGAAGATGGGGTCACATTATTCTCCAAAGCCCCTGAAGGCAGGACAAGAAACAATGGCTGGAAACTGATCAAGGAGAGAAGCAACCTGGAATTAAGGAGAAACTTCCTAACAGTGAGGACAATTAACCGGTGGAACAGCTTGCCACCAGAAATCGTGGGTGCTCCATCACTGGAGTTTTTAAGAAGAGACTGGACAGTCACTTGTCTGAAATGGTATAGTTCTCCTGCTTGGGCAGGGGGTTGGACTAGAAGACCTCCAAGGTCCCTTCCTGCTGTATTCTGGTTTACCCCACAATTCAACTCTGAGCTACAAATATTCTCCTCCAGTGGTAGTTCCATGAGGTGTGCCTTGTTTTTACACTAATGTAAAGTCACGAGAGTCAGCAGGGAACAATAAGCAATCTACCTCTATATTTGGGGTCACTGAGAGAGCTGGACGTTTTCCGCAGATAATCGCTCAGGCCATTGAGCAGTTCAGGGTCTCCTGCTACCACGGCCTGGAAAAGACGGTCCCTGTCGAAGCGGTCTGGGTCATCCGGTCTGGAGAAGACAAAAGAAAGAAAAAGGGTCCAGGAGGGATTCGGTCCTTCAGTCCTCGGACCGGTCCATTTGCTCTCTAAAGATCAGCCCAGAAAGATCCTGGGCTCATCCACAGATCCCCTCATCCAGCGGGGGGCTGGACTAGAAGACCTCCAAGGTCCCTTTCTATTCTATTCTATTCTATTCTATTCTGTTCTGTTCTGTTCTGTTCTGTTCTGTTCCATATTTTCTACTCTATTTTATTTTTTATTTTCTATTATTTTCTATTTTCTCTTCTCTTCTCTTTTCTCTTCTCTTCTCTTTTCTTCTATTCTAATAATAATAATAATAGTAATAATAGTAGTAAAGTTGGAAGGGACCTTGGAGGTCATCTAGTCCAACCCCCTGCTCAGGCAGGAAACCCTACACCATTTCGCACAAATGGCTGTCCAGTCTCTTCTTAAAAACTTCCAGTGTTGGAGCATTTACTGCTTCTGGAGGCAGGCTGTTCCACTGATTAATTGTTCTCACTGTCAGGAAGTTTCTCCGTAGTTCTAGGTTGCTTCTCTCCTTGATTAGTTTCCATCCGTTGCTTCTTGTCCTGCCTTCAGGCGCCTTGGAAAATAGTTTGACTCCCTCTTCTTTGTGGCAGCCCGTGAGATACTGGAACGCTGCTATCATGTCCCCCCTTGTCCTTCTCTTCGTTAAACTAGACATACCCAATTCTAGCAACCGTTCCTTATATGTTTTAGCCTCCAGTCCCCTAATCATCTTTGTTGCTCTTCTCTGTACTCTTTCTAGAGTCTCAACATCTTTTTGACATCGCGGTGACCAAAACTGGATGCCGTATTCCAAGTGTGGCCTTACCAAGGCCTTGTAAAGTGGTATTAACACTTCACATGATCTTGATTCTCTCCCTCTGTTAATGCAGCCCAGCACTGTGTTGGCCTTTTTGGCAGCTGCAGCACACGGCTGGCTCATATTTAGGTGATTGTCTACTAGGACTCCGAGGTCCCTCTCACAGTTACTACTATTGAGCATGGTGCCACCTATGCTGTACTTGTGCATTTGGTTTTTCTTGCCTAAATGTAGAACCTTGCTTTCTATTCTATTCTATTCTATTCTATTCTATTCTATTCTATTCTATTCTATTCTATTCTATTCTATTCTATTCTATTCAATATTTTCTATTCTATACTACTCCACTCCACTCCACTCTACTCTACCCTACCGTACTCTATACTCTACTCTATTCTATTCTATTCCATATTTTCTATTCTATACTACTCCACTCCACTCCACTCTACTCTACCCTACCGTACTCTATACTCTACTCTACTCTATTCTATTCTATTCCATATTTTCTATTATTTTCTATTTTCTCTTCTCTTCTATTTTCTCTTCTCTTCTATTCTATTCCATGTTTTCTATTCTACTCTATTCTATTCCATAGTTTCTATTCCTGTTCTGTTCTGTTCTATTCTATTCTATTCTATTTTCTATTATTTTCTATTTTCTCTTCTCTTCTATTTTCTCTTCTCTTCTATCCTATTCCATGTTTTCTATTCTACTCCATTCTATTCCATAGTTTCTATTCTATTCTGTTCTGTTCTATTCTATTCTATTTTCTACAGTATTTTCTATTATTTTCTATTATTTTCTATTTTCTATTTTCTCTTCTCTTCTATTTTCTCTTCTCTTCTCTTCTCTTCTCTTCTCTTCTCTTCTATTCTATTCTATATTCTATTTTCTGTTCTGTTCTGTTCTGTTCTCTTCATCCACTGCTGGAATATGCCGCAGTAACCATTTTATATGCTTTTATCTCATTCAGAACGGTAGCAGCTTCGTGTTTGTCTGCAGGGCTGGCCCAAATGTTAGGCAATGAAGAGTTTTGTTTCGTGATCTTATTATCGGGCTGGTGGTTCTTTTATTTCTTTGAGTGTGAATAGCAATAGTGTGACAGTTCCTGCCTGCCAAATTCTAATTTGTGGGACCTGACACACAAGGAAGGGGAGGTGTGGAGGGAGCAGGAATAAAGCAGCTTTGGATACCACTTCATAGAACCCCAAGTTGGGATATAAACACTTTAAATATTCTTGACGCTTAAGTTAAAACTGAGGATAGATCACCGTCAGTTTCTTGCTAAATAGATTTTATTTATTTTCTTTAATTATGAGAACTAGCGTGGTTTAATGGTTAAGGCACCAGCTAGAAAACAAGAGATTGTGAGTTCTAGTCCTACTTTAACCATGAAAACTAGCTGGGCATCTGTCAGTCAATTACCAGGTGATGGTGAGTTCTAGTCCCGCCTTAGCCATGAAAGCTGGCTGGGTGCCTTTGAGCCAATCACCAGGAGACTGTAAGTTCTAGTCCTGCCTTAGTCATGAAAGTAGGCTGGGTGCCTTTGAGCAATCACCAGGTGACGGTGAGTTCTAATCCCGCCTTAGCCATGAAAGCCAGTTGGGGACATTGTGCCAATCACCAGGTGACGGTGAGTTTTAGTCCCCACTTAGCCATGAAAGCTGGCTGGGTGCCTTTGGACCAATCACCCGGAGATGGTGAGTTCTAGTTGTGATTTAAGATACAAAAGTTGGTTGGGGACGCAGGAGATGATGAGTTCTAGTCCTGCCTTAGTGTAAGGACCCACCCCACTTTGCATCTTATCCAAAGATGGCAGAATTGGGAGTTTCTATATTTGATAATTAAAGATGAAATATAATTGTATTCTGACACTTAGGCACAAAAGCTGGCTGGGTGACTTTGGGCCAATCACCAGGAGACGGTGAGTTCTAGTCCTGCCTTAGGCATGAAAGCCATCTGGGTGACTTTGGGCCAATCACCAGGAGACGGTGAGTTCTAGTCCTGCCTTAGGCATGAAAGCCAGCTGGGTGACTTTGGGCCAATCACCAGGAGACGGTGAGTTCTAGTCCTGCCTTAGGCACAAAAGCTGATTGGGTGACTTTGGGCCAGTCGCTCTCTCTCTCAGCCCAACTCACAGAGTTGTTGTTATGGGGGAAATAGTAGAAGGAAGGTGCATTGGATGTGTTCACCATCTTGACTTATTTGCAAAAATAACAAAAGCAGGAAACAAACGAACAAATAAACAATTGTGTTTCTCCATTCCTTTAAGACTGCTGCATAAAAAATAAGAAAGCAACCCATAAGCCTTTGACAGAGATCAATGCAAAGTTCTTTCTGGTCGTGAAAATCTGTAAAATAATTCCCACATGTACCAGGGATAATGACTTACTTTTGGGGTCCTGACAGATAATTCAGATTCACCCGAATCCGTGGGGAAGGGGGGGCTTCCTTCTCGAAGGGGGTGTCCAAGGGCTGCGGTCCAGGCTCCTTCCCAGATGCCCCCGTGGCACCTGCGTTCAGATCCTCTCCAAGGCCGTCATCTGTCTCCAGGAAATAGTGGGATTTCTCCATCGTCCAGGATGGGAGGCTGGCAGGGTGACAGTGGCAGGTGGGCCAAAAGGCTGACCCCAAAGGGCTGGCAGAACTGGAGGGGTTGTGGGGAAGGGGTTGGGCTAGACACGGGGGTCCGAGGGGCCAGTCCACCCTCTCCCAGCCCAGCTTTCCTCGGTGTTGTGGGAAGAAATTAAAGGCCAGGGGGAAAAAAGGAAGGTGTAAAACTGGCAAATAGTAATAGTAATAGTAGTAAGGTTGGAAGGGACCTTGGAGGTCATCTAGTCCAACCCCCTGCTCAGGCAGGAAACCCTACACCATTTTGGACAAATGGCTATCCAGTCTCTTCTTAAAAACTTCCAGTGTTGGAGCATTTACTGCTTCTGGAGGCAGGCTGTTCCACTGGTTAATTGTTCTCACTGTCAGGAAGTTTCTCCTTAGTTCTAGGCTGCTTCTCTCCTTGATTAGTTTCCATCGGTTGCTTCTTGTCCTGCCTTCAGGTGCTTTGGAGAATAGCTTGACTCCCTCTTCTTTGGGGCAGCCCCTGAGATACTGGAACACTGCTATCCTGTCCTCCCTCGTCCTTCTCTTCTTTAAACTAGACATCCCCAATTCCAGCAACCGTTCCTTATATGTTTTAGCCTCCAATCCCCTAATCATCTTTGTTGCTCTTCTCTGTACTCTTTCTAGAGTCTCCCCATCTATCTATTTGTTTGGCAAGCAAACAAAACAGAGGAGGAGGAGAGACAATACGAGATAGTCCTCTATTTACAACCGTTCATTTAGTGACCCTTTGAAGTAACAACGTTACCGAAAAGAATGACTTCTGACCGGTTTTCACACAGTGATGATGTCACCGTTTCACACTTACATCCTCATGGTGACGGGATCAAAATTCAGATGCTCGGCAACCGACTCGTACTTATGACGGTGGCAGGGTCCCAGTGATCCCCTTTTGTGACCTTCTGACAAGCGAAGTCAATGGGGAGGCCAGATTCGCTTAGCGACCCTGTCACTACGATTCGCTTAACGACAGTTGCCAGAAAGTGCGTCAAACGGGGCAAAACTCACTTAGTGTCTTGTTGAGCCACGGAATTCTGGGTTCTACAGTGGTCTAACTGGAAAAGGATAAAAGCGTTGTCAAGCCGCTGCAAACTCTCCAAATTTAGCACTTTCGGGAAGAAGGAGAAAAAGAGGAAGAGGAAACGAAGGCGGCCAAGTCACTTTTCTCAGCGCTGTTTAGCCGTCACTAAATGAATGGTTGTTGAGGACCATCTGCATTAAAATCCTAATGTGCCATTGTAAGAAGCAGCAGTGTGTCAATCTTACAGTAAATATCAATGAAGAGAAACCTTGCGCACGAAATATCTTTTGGCCTTGTCCCTGATGTGTAAAACAGGTCGGAGAAGTAAATTTTGGAAGTAAAAAGTTAATAATAATAATAATAATAATAATAATAATAATAATAATAATAATAATAATAAAGTTGGAAGGGACCTTGGAGGTCATCTAGTCCAACTCCCCCCCCCTCTCAGGCAGGAAGCCCTATACTATTTCAATCAATCAATCAATCAAAATAGAGTTGGAGGGGACCTTGGAGGTCATCTAGTCCAACCCCCTGCTCAGGGAGGAAACCCTATATCAGTGGTGGCGAACCTATGGCCTGGGTGCCAGAGGCGGCACTCAGAGCCCTCTCTGTGGGCACGCGCGCCGTCGCCCCAGTCCTAGGCCTTCAGCTGGGTTTTATAAAACCTTTTCGCTTTAGGCCTCCGCCGCCGTGTGCAAAAAAAAAAAGGTTCAATCAATCAATCAGTTTCAACTTCTCGCGGGGGAAAAAAAAGATCTTGCAAAGTTGGAATTGATTGATTGAACTTTTTAGTCCCACCCAGTCTGCCGTTACCACGGCAGGCATGGCCACACCTACCCAATGGGCCATATGCACCAATGGGCTACGCCCATCTGGCACCCAACGATACATAAGTGGGTTTTGGGTTTCAGTTAGGGCACTTGGTCTCTAAAAGGTTCGCCATCACTGCCCTAGACCATTTTGGACAAATGGCTGTCCAGTCTCTTCTTAAAAACTTCCAGTGTTGGAGCATTCACCGCTTCTGGAGGCAAGGAGTTCCACTGGTTAATTATTCTCACTGTCAGAAAGTTTCTCCTTAATTCTAGGTTGCTTCTCTCCTTGATGAGTTTCCATCGGTTGCTCCTATTTAAGGGATTGTCCATTAGGACTCCGAGGTCCCTCTCACAGTTGCTACTATTGAGCAAGGTACCCCCTTATACTATACCTGTACATTTGGTTTTTCTTGCCTAAATGTAGACTCTTATTTTTCTCACCATTAAATTGCTATTTGTTAAATAGGGTCCAGTGTTCAGGTCTGTCAAGATCCCACCCCTCGCTGCACTACTCAGCTAAATGAAATACATCCTATTAGTAGCAGAGCAAAAATAAACAGCCTATTTACTTCCTCTGATCTAAAATGAAACTGCAAGTCCAAAACAGTCTTTTGCACCTGCTCTGAGGTCATCTCATTCATCAGCCATATCGTTTCCTTTTAGGATGGGAACAAGATACTCACTGACAAGCTGATTTTCACGATGCCTAATTGCCCCAAATCTCCAAGAATCCTTTGCAGGGATCTCCAGCGATCGGTTCACCTGGCAAACGCAAGAAAGTTGGCCAAGATCCTTGGCCCAGAACCACAACACACCCTCTACACCACAAGATCTGCAGCTCGTAGGAAGAGCAGGGGTTTCACTCTGGGTGGAGAAGCCTCACGTAAGTCTGACAGCGAGGATATTGTAAACTTTATAGTCCTGAAAAGGAGGAAGTGGTTAGAATACTCAAGTCTTGAGAAGCTCAGAGACACCATCGTGAGATTTTCTCCATTTCTCCATTTGGGGATTGTGTTTAGAGGAAACGAGAACAGTTCTGACCTTGTGTCTAAAGCAGAAAGTCCTAACGTTTGTAAGATATTACTTCTCCTTGGACTAGAGGTCACGTTCAAGCAGGAGACCCCATATCATTTCAGACAAGTGGCTGTACAGTCTCTTCTTAAAAAGCTCCAGTGTTGGAGCACCCACAACTTCTGGAGGCAGGTTGTTCCACTGGTTAATTGTTCTAGCTGTCAGGAAGTTTCTCCTTCGTTCTGGGTTGCTTCTCTCCTTGATTAGTTTCCATCCGTTGTTTCTGGTCTTGCCTTCAGGTGCCTTGGAGAATAAGTTGACCCCTCTTCTTTGTGGCAGCCCCTCAAATACTGGAATACTGCTATCATGTCACCCTTACTCCTTTTTTTCTCTAGATTGGCCATACCCAATTCCTAACGTACAACGGTTCTTCCTATATTTAGTCTCCAGGCCTTTAATCATCTTAGTTGCTCTTCTTTGCACTTTTTTTTTTTCAAAGTCTCAACATCCTTTTTGTAATGTGGTGACCAAAACTGGATGCGGTATTCCGGGTGTGGCCTTACTAAGGTTTGATAAAGGGGTACTGATACTTCACGTGATCTTGATTCTATGCCTCTGTTTATTCAACGCAGGATTGTATTAGCTTTTTTTGGCTGCTGCCGCACACGGCTGGCTCATAGTCAAGTGATCCAATGGATCCAGGAAATTACAGACCTATCAGCCTGACCTCAATACCTGGGAAGATTGTGGAAAAGATATTCCACACCTGGAATACTGCAACCAATTTTGGTCACCATACTACAAAAAAGATGTTGAGAGTTTGGAGAAAGTCTAGAGAAGAGCAGCTAAGATGATCCAAGGCCTGGAGGCTAAAACATATGAAGAACGACTGCAGGACTTGGGTTTGGCTAGTCTAAAGAAAAGAAGAAATAGGGGAGACAGGATAGGAGTCTTCCAGTATCTGAGGGATTACCACAAAGAAGAGGGGGTCAAATTATTCTCCAAAGCACCAGAGGGCAGGACAAGAAACAATGGTTGGAAACTGACCAAAGAGAGAAGCAACCTGGAATTAAGGAGAAACTTCCTGACAGTGAGGACAATTAACCAGTGAAACAGCTTGCCACCAGAAGTTGTGGGTACTCCATCACTGGAGGTTTTTAAGAAGAGACTGGACAGTCACTTGTCTGAAATGGTACAGGTTCTCCTGGTGGACTTCAACTCCCAGAATTCCTGAGCCAGTATGGCTCAGCTTGGAAACTCTCCCTTTCCCCTCAGCATGGCTGACTAAGGAATTCTGGGAGTTGAAGTCCACCAGTCATCAAAGAGCCCAGGTTGCCTACCCCTGGGTTAGACCATGCCAACATGACAATCCAAGAGTTTGAGGTGCAGAACAAGTGTTTGGAGAAAGACACTGAAGATCTCCACAAAGAGGTCAGCATAAGGTCCCCAGCCAAGTGACCTTCTTCGGAGACGACAAGACAGCCCAGGAAAATGATTTGGAAATGATGTGGAAGCTTGTGTCCAAATCTGAAAAGTCCCTCCTGAGTCTGAATGAAACACAGTGCAGAAAAGCCACTTCAACCCCTCCGAAGAAGGAAGTCGTCGTTCTTCAGAAAGAAAGGGAAACAAAAGGAAGTGCCACAAAGTTCTGCAGAAGTAGCAGATCTGACTTCCGCAGGGAACGTTCTTGGGGCTGAATCCGGAGAACCAGAGGCCAACGGGCACGCGATCTCCTGAAAGAGTGGACACCAGGCTGGTGGGGGTGGCCGAGAAGAGGTCAAAGACAAGGAAGGTTCCGGATTGTTGTGGACAGCCTCAACAGCCAGCCGTGTGCTGCAGCTGCCAAACAAGCCAACACAGTGCTAGGCTGCATTAACAGAGGGAGAGAATCAAGATCACGTGAAGCATTAATACCACTTTACAAGGCCTTGGTAAGGCCACACTTGGAATACGGCATCCAGTTTTGGTCACCACGATGTAAAAAAGATGCTGAGACTCTGAAAAGAGTACAGAGAAGAGCAACAAAGATGATTAGGGGACTGGAGGCTAAAAACAAAGATGATTAGGAGACTGGAGGCTAAAACATATGAAGAACGGTTGCAGAATTGGGTATGTCTAGTTTAATGAAGGGAAGGATGAGGGGGGACAGGATAGCAAGTCTCCCAATATCTCAAGGGCTGCCCCAAAGAAGAGGGAGTCAAGCTATTCTCCAAAGCACCTGAAGGAAAGACAAGAAGCAACAGATGGAAACTAACCAAAGAGAGAAGCAACCGAGAATTAAGGAGAAACTTCCTAATAGTGAGGACAATTGACCAGTGGAACTCCTTGCCTCCAGAAACAGTGAATGCTCCAACACTGGAAGTTTTTAAGAAGAGACTGGACAGCCATTTGCCCAAAATGGTCTAGGGTTTCCTGCCTGAGCAGGGGGTTGGATTAGATGACCTCCAAGGTCCCTTCCAACTTTATTATTATTATTGTTGTTGTTGTTGTTATTATTATGTTTGTTTATTATTTGTTTTACCAATGGTTAATTGACAGAGGTTAGAAAGTTGGAAATATGAGAAAATGTGGATTATATCAGGAAGAGCTATAGCGGATTAGTAAATATTTTGATGGTTATACAATTAATGTCAATGTGGAAAATCCTATTTTTAACAATATGATTGCTCTTTCCTAAATGAAAATTAGAATATTTCGGACATGTGATGTGACACCCAGAAAAATACGGCATACTCCATTTAATCCTCCAGGGAAAGATTGAAGGCAAACGAGGTCCAGGCAGAAGAAGAACATTGTGGCTTCAAAAACTGAGGGACTAGTTTGGACAAAACTCAGCAGCACTTTTTCGTGCAGCTGCTGATAAAAACAGGATTGCCAACATGATCGCCAACGTCCGATAATGGATATGGCACAACAAGAAGAAGATTTTAGACCAATGGCTGTCCATTCTCTTCTCTCTTTTTTTATAACACGTTTTTATTGGTTTTCCAGTTTTACATTTGAGTATTTGGAAAGCAGCGTGGTGATTGGGCAGTCAATAGTTCAATAACACAATCTTTAGTACATATCTCAGGTTACATCATCAAAAATTCCTTCTTTGCTTCCCTTAACATTTGCTATATCATATTTAAGCTAGTAAATTTCTAATTATAACAAGCTCAGTTAAAACATTTATCGATATATTTTTTTGCTTATACGTATCCATATCCTGTTTTTAAGTTTTACCTAATTTTTAACTTTTAATTGCAGCATTCCAATTTAGCCTTTACTATCCATAGTATTAAAGTTTCGGGTATCCCAAATTTCCTTTCTTTCACCATGTAAAAGTTATAATATCTAAAATACACATATTACTTACTGAAATATATTCTTATTTTATTCCATAAACATTTTCTAATTCTCATCCTAGTTCGTCCATCACCACTTACTAATGGAGTATCCTTTATTGTCTCAAATCCATCATCTGTATTATCTGGGCTAAACAATAATTCAAAGCTATTTCCTAATAGTTAATTTTCATTTCCCTTATAATCTAAATCAGTGGTTCTCAACCTTTTTAATGCCGCGACCCCCAACCAGTCATAAGTCGGACTACTCAACCGGTCGTAAGTCGAGGACTATTCAACTGGTGCAGCACCATTTGCAGAATGGGACTTTTGGCGGGCTCAGCAGGGCAGAGACAGCCTGGACAATTCCTATTGGCTTTGGAAAGCCAATAGAATGAGACTCTATTCAAGAGAGTCTCTTCTATTGGCTTTCAAAAGCCAATAGAATAAAAGGGAGTAGCACAGCTAAGGAAAAGGGGGAAAAATGGCGGACTGCGTTGTTTGGCGACCCCCGTGAAATGGTCGTTCGACCCCAAATGGGGTCCCGACCCACAGGTTGAGAACCACTGATCTAAATCCTCAATATTAACCAATTAATCCCTTATCTTTTTATCATTTTCCAACAATATTTCATATTTCCCTTCTTCTCAAAATCTCCCTTTAGCCCACTAGTTGAGATTTTAGGATCCTCTCTAATAAATCAGAAGACCCCATTTTTTTTAAATCTAAATCCAGCTTTCTTTTTATGCCAACCAGGCTCTGGTGGTTCAAATCCCCATATTTGCTCTGGTATATTTATCTTCAATTCGATCTGGTTTTCTTTTTCCTCAGGTTTCTTCTGGTTTAAGTAAAAAGTCATGTCCAATTTTATGGTTCTTGTCTGATTATCTAGGTTTTCAGTAAGCTGTACTTGTTCATCTTTAACACCCTCCATCTTGGTATTACTTTCTTCTGCTTCTGTTGTTCTTTGGGTTGTAGGTTCTTTAGTTGCAATCAGAGTTTGGTTGTCTAAATTTTCAGTATATTGTAGTTGTTGTTTTTTAAAGTCCTCTGTCTTGGAATTACTTTCTTCCGCTTCTGTTGTTTTTTGAATTGTAAGTTCTTCAGTTAGTGACCAGGCTTTCTCTTTGTAGGTTTAAGCTGGCGCCTTTGTCTTTCAGTCTAGATTTGATTACCTCAGTAGCTTCAAGAATTTTTTTCAAGTATAAGCTTATAGTTAGCCGAAATCTGTTGCTGGTCCTCCTCCATTTCTGAGATAGTTATAAATGGTCCTTTAGTGGAGGCTATTTTTGAAACAAGAATCAGTAAGTGTTCACCTCCACAATTTCTAAAAACTAATTTCACTGCCCAGCTGTTCTCTCAGCTTTTAATTTCTTTTAGATAATACCAAGGACAGATCTGGGCTGTTAGCAGGTCTCTTTGTCAAGAATATTCACTTCCTGTACCAGGCTTCGCCACAAGATGTCTCCGATAGCATTTAAAATCTTTTTCAAAACCCCGGCTAGATTTTTATCAATTTAAGTTCTTTTTCATCTTTTTTACAAGTAGATAAGGTAACAGATCCCCGTAAGAGTAGGAACTTTTTGGGTCCCCAAATATCAAGAAGATGCAAATCCAATTATTTAGTTGTTCTTTTCAAGGCTTTATGTCTCCAAGGTAATCTGACGCCACCATTTTAGAGGGTGGGAGGAAAACATTCCCTTCCCTCTCTCCTCACAGGGGGAAGAAATTTCAAGAAGCTTTTTACAGGAAAGTACTTGTGGTACAAAGAAGGTAAGATCTCACCCAATTCCTCTGTGGTGCTTTCAAAGTGCTTGTTAGTAATTTTGGCCTTGGCTGGTAGCGGCTTAGTGATGGGCCATGTTAATGGCCGATCTTTCCCCTGTCAGTTCGAAGAGCTGCCCTGGATCAAACAGGAGGGCTGCCGCCCTTCCGCGATCACTCAGGGGTCCTCTTCACACTCATCGTCTCTCCAGGGCAATTTTCAACCCTTTTCAGGCTCCCACAGCGGGAGAAAACAAGACGGCGGAGAGAGCGATCGCCTCGTATGTCTGCCAGCACCGCAATCACAACCAGAAGCGGCTGTCCATTCTCTTCTTAAAAGCCTCCAATGATGGAGCACCCACAATGTCTGGAGGCAGGTTGTTCCATAAGGACAAGGAGGAGGAGGAAGAGAAAGAGGAGGAGAAGAGAGGAAGAGGAGGTGGAGGAGGAGGAAGAAGAGGAGGAGGAGAAGAGAGGAGGAGGAGGAGAAGAGAGGAGGAGGAAGAGAAGAGGAGGAGGAGGAGGAGGAGAAAAAAGGAGAAAGACTAGTAGGAACAGAAGGAAAAAGGAGATGGAGGAGGAGGAGAAGGAGGAGGAGAAGAAGAAGAAGAGAGGAGGAGGAGGAGGAGGAGAAGGAAGAGAGGAGAGGGGAAGGAGGAGGAGAAGGAGGAGGAGGAGAGAAGGAGGAGGAGGAGAAGGAGGAGAAGAGAGGAGGAGGAGGAAGAAGAAGACAGGAGGAGGAGGAGGAGGAGAAGGAGGAGGAGAAGAGAGGAGGAGGAGGAGAGAGGAGGAGAAGAGAGAAGGAGGAGGAGGACAAGGACAAGCAGGAGGAGGAGGAGAAGAGAGGAGGAGGAGCAGAGAGGAGGAGGAGAAGGAGGAGGAGGAGGAGGAGGAGGAGGAGGTGGAAAGGAGAAGGATATTGGGCTAAAGTGCTGGGTTTTTCACTCTCAGATAACTTTATGATCGGCATTAACTGAGGCGCTCACAGAATTCTTCCTCCATTAAGTGGGTCAGCTCAGCCCAAAGACACCCAGTTCCACCCTCTGTTTCCATCGAACAGCAGTTGAGGCAATCCATTCGTCGCTGAGGTGCCGCCCCTCCCTCCCTCCCTCCCTACGGCCTTAATTCCTGCAGCGACACCCGCTCTTCCTCCTCTTCCTTCTCCTCCACCACCGAAGACAAGCGCGACTTTGCCCGGGCCAGCCAGTCCCGTAGTTTCGATTCTAGAGTAACAGGGAAATAAAAAAAAAAAAAACGAGCGATGAGCGCAAGTATCACACGAAGCAGTGTTACATACATAGTCCTCCACTTACGACCATTCGTTTAGTGACAGTTCATAGTTACAACGATGAACGTGACTTCTGACTGTTTTCCACACTTATGAATATTGCAGCATCCCCGCGGTCACGTGGTCAAAATTCAGATCCTTGGCAACTGACTCACATTTATGACCGTCGCAGCATCCTGGGGTCGCGGGATCAGATTTTACGACCTTCTGACAGATCGGGTGAGGAGGCCAGAGTCGCTTAACCAGGTTGCTAACTTAACACCTGAAGTGGTTCACTTAACAACGGTGCCACGAAAGGTCGTAAGTTGGGGCAAAACTCACTTACCGTCTCCTTTAGCGACAGAAATTTGGAGCTCCATTGTGGTCGTAAGTTGGGGATCACTTGTACGGAGCTTTTGGGAACTGCATCCTGGGGAGCTACCAAACCAGAACTCCTGCCAGGTAGTCCTTGACTTCTGACCATAATGGAACCTGCCTATTGCAGTCACGAGACATGACAGTTATAAAATGGATAGGTTGATTTCAGGACATTTTGTGCAGCCGTCGTTAAAGAAAATGCCATGGTCATTAAGTACCAGATTTGGATCCAGGGGTAGGCAACCTTGGCTCTTTTATGACTCGTGGACTTCAACTCCCAGAATTCCTGAGCCAGCATGGGGGAACTATGGGCCCTTCATGACTCGTGGACTTCAATTCCCAGAATTCCTGAGCCATCAGGGGGGAACTATGGCCCCTTCATGACTGGCGGACTTCAACTCCCAGAATTCCTGAGCCGGCATGGCTCAGCATGGAAACCTCTCCCTTTCCCCTCAGCATGGCTGGCTCAGGAATTCTGGGAGTTGAAGTCCACCAGTCATCAAAGAGCCAAGGTTGCCTACCCCTGGGTGAAACTACCACAAAATACGCCAAATGGCCGCAAAAAGCTACAAGCAGTCATGCTCCCAAAGTTAGGTGGGGCGACCGCCAGAACTTCAGAATCGGGTTGTAACCAGCCTCCAAGTCAGTCTGTTGTAACTTCGGCCATTAAGTGACCTGTCATAAGTGGGGGACTATCTGGTTAGAGAAGGAGAGGCTGGCCTTAACCTGGAATTATTAAAGCCAAGCTGGATTCAGTTTGATGGAGCCACACTTCCATCTGCTGGCGGACAGCAGTTAAAATCCCCCTAGGCAGAATAATAATAATATTGTAATACAGAATAATAGAGTTGGGAGGGGTCTTGGAGGTCTTCTAGTCCAACCCCCTGCAAAAGGAGGAAACCTACCGTATACCATTTTGGTCAAATGACTGTTCAATCTCTTCTTAAAAACCTCCAGTCATGGAGCATCCACAACTTCTCATGGAAAGCCTTTCCGCTGTTTTTAGGAAATTTCTCCTTAATTCCAGGTTGCTTCTCTCGTTTGCTTTTCACCCATTGCTTCTTGTCCTGCCTTCAGGTGCCTCAGGGAATAGCTTGACCCCCTTTTTGGATCCTGACCCCCTCTTCTTTGTGGCAGCAACTGAGATATTGGAACACTACCATCAAGTCACCTTCTCTTCATTAGACTAGACATGCCCAATTCCAGCAACCGTTCCTCATATGTTTTAGCCTCCAGTTCCGTAATCACCTTTGTTGCTCTTCTCTGCACTCTTTCTAGAGTCTCAGCATCTTTTTTACATCGTGGTGACCTAAACTGGATGCCGTATTCCAAGTGTGGCCTTAACCAAGGCCTTGTAAAGTGGTATTAGTACTTCAGGTGATCTTGAGTCTATCCCTCTGTTAATGCAGCCCAGCATTGTGTTGGCCTTTTTGGCAGCTGCAGCACACAGCTGGCTTCTATTTAAGGGATTGTCCACTAGGACTCTGAGATCTAAGCTCCTTCTTACAGTTACTGCTGTTAAGCCAGGTTCCAGCTATTCTAATGAAGAAGAGGTCAGAAGATCCTGTTGTCTGAGATGGTACAGGTTCTCCTGCTTAAGCGGGGGGGGGGGGGGCTGGACTAGAAGACCTCCAAGGTCCCTTCCAGCTCTATTCTATTTTATTCTATTCTATTCTGCTCTAAATTCTATTCTATTCTATTCTATATTTCTATTATATTCTATATTTCTATTCTATTCTCAATAAAGATTCTATTCTATTCTATTCTATTCTGTTTTATTCTATTCCAATTTCTATTCTATTCTATATTCTATTCTGTTTAATTTCTATTCTATTCTATTCTAATTTCATTCTATTCTATTCTATTTAATTTCTATTCTATTCTGAATTCTATTCTATTCTGAATTCTCCTTGGCCTTTTACAGCTATCGCTGCCTTAAAGTTAGCTAAGAGTTTTTGCATGAAGAGGAATTGAAGCAACACTGCTTGCTAAATCACCAGGAAATGCTCGCTAAAAACGAAACCTCAAATGTAGACATGAGACGGGGCAACTGCCGGAACAGAGGTGCTTAAAATATACTTAGAACTGGATGATTATGCTGAAATATATTTTTGCTGACTCCACAAAGTAATGGAAGAGACAAGGGGAACGTACAAGGGGGTGTGTGTGCGTGTGTGTGCGCGCGCACTAAGTTAGCAGCAATGGGGGGTAAATGTGCTAATGGTTGCTGAATACAGGGAATCCTCAACTTACAACAGTTGGTTTAGTGACCGTTCAAAGTTACAATGGCACTGAAAAATGTGACATGATCATTTTCCACACTTACAACCGTTGCAGTATCCCCGTGGTCACGTGATCAAAATTCCGACACTTGTCATATTTATGACATTTGCAGCATCCCGGGGTCACGTGATCCTCTTATGCAGGGGTAGGCAACCTTGGCTCTTTTATGACTTGTGGACTTCAACTCCCAGAATTCCTGAGCCAGCATGGGGGAACTGTGGCCCCCTTCATGACTGGTGGACTTCAACTCCCAGAATTCCTGGGCCAGCATGGCTCAGCTTGGAAACCTCTCCCTTTCCCATCAGCGTGGCTGGCTCAGGAATTCTGGGAGTTGAAGTCCAACAGTCATAAAAGAGCCAAGGTTGCCTACCCCTGGCCTTGTGTGATCTTCTGACTAGCAAAGTCAATGGGGGGAAACCAGATTCACTTATCAACTGTCTCACTGACTTAACTACTGCAGTGATTGACGTAACAGATGTGGCAAGAAAGGTCGTAAAATGGGGCTAAACTCCCTTAACCAATTTCTCACTTAGCAACGTAAATGTGGGGCTCAATTCTGGCGATAGGTCAAGGACCTACCTGTATTGCGCCTGCATCCTAAGCAATATTAATAAATATTAGTGGGGTCTTAGGATGACCTAAGAGGGGATGGCTTGAAATGGGAATATCTATAAAATATGTATTATGGATTTGCCCAGGTCAGTTGGGAATCATCCCTTCATCGAAAAAAAAAGCAGGGGGTTGGACTAGATGACCTCCAAGGTCCCTTCCAACTTTATTGTTATTATTCAGTCCAGAAAGAGAAGACTTTTCAATGCTTAAAAGCCAACAAAGCACGACAAGAAGCAATGGGCAATAATCAGGGAGAGAAGCAACCTAAAAATAAGCAGTGAGAACAATTAACCGGTGGAACAACTTGCCACCGGAAGTTGTGGGTGCTCCAACACTGGACGTTTTTAAGAAGAGAACGGACAGCCACCTGTCTGAAATGGCATAGGGTCTCCTGCCTGAGCAAGGGGTTGGATTAGATGACCTCCAGGGTCTCTTCCAAATCTTGTTATTCTGTGATTGTTATCCCCCTGAATAGAATAGAGCTGGAAGGGACCCTGGAGGTCTTCTAGTCCAGCCCCCTGCTCGAGCAGGAGAACCCATACCATCTCAGACAGGTGAGTGTCCAGCCTCTTGTGAAAAATCTCCAGTGATGGAGCGCCCACGATTTCTGGGGGCGAGCTGTTCCTATGTCCTTTCTTGTGGGCAGAATAAAGCTTTTGTAAATTTCCACCTTGGTGTGTGGTTTATTCAGCGTTGCACGGCAAGCAGAACCCATTTTCTGGGACAACACTAGACCAGTGATGGCGAACCTTTTAGAGACCGAGTGCCCAAACTACAACCCAAAACCCACTTATGTATAGCTGGGTGCAGACTGGTGCGCGTGGCCACTGGATGGGTGTGGCTGCAGTAGTCATGGCAGATTGGATGGGCATGGTGGGGTGGGCGTGGCTTATGGGGAGGGACACCCTGTGGGAGCTGGGCAGGGTTGGGGGAGATCCAGAGGGTCTCTCGCGGGTGGGATGGTGGGCTCCCCAATGGCGGCTCCAGGCTGGCTGGCCTTAGGCCAGTGATGGCAAACTTTTAGAGACCACGTGTGCTGGGGCGATGGCGCGTGCCCACAGAGAGGGCTCCGCGTACCGCCTCTGGCACACGTGCCATAGGTTCGCCACCACTGCCCTATTCTTTCACTTCAAGGCCGCTCAGCAAAATCCAACATGTCTAGTTTAACGAAGAGAAGGACGAGGGGGGACATGATAGCAGTGTTCCAATATCTCAGGGGCTGCCCCAAAGAAGAGGGAGTCAAGCTGTTCTCCAAAGCGCCTGATGGCAGGACAAGAAGCAACGGATGGAAATTAACCAAGGAGAGAAGCAACCTAGAACTAAGGAGAAACTTCCTGACAGTGAGAACAATTAACCAGTGGAACTCCTTGCCTCCAGAAGCGGTGAATGCTCCAACCCTGGAAGTTTTTAAGAAGAGACCGGACAGCCATTTGTCCAAAATGGTCTAGGGTTTCCTGCCTGAGCAGGGGGTTGGACTAGATGATCTCCAAGGTCCCTTCCAACTTTTATTATTATTATTATTGTTGTTGTTGTTGTTGTTGTTGTTGTTATTATTATTATTATTTTGGATCATCGCACAGTCAGCCAGATGTTCAGACTGGATTTCGCACCTTGTCTACCTATCGAGTCCTTACCCAGAACCTGGGATAGGCAGATGTGGATGTTTGATGGTATTACAGGTATCGTCGCAGGATGGAAGCAGTTCCTAATAAGGCCGCCTTTTGCAATTGACTAATAGCAAATTTGTCAATGCCAATGGTGTTCAAGTGGTGCTCCAGTTGTTTTGGGATTGCACCCAAGGAGCCTATGACTATTGGTACTACCCTTGCTTGCTTTTGCCACAGTCTTTCTATTTCTATTTGTAGGTCTTTGTATTTTGTTATCTTCTCCAGTTCTTTCTCTTCTATTCTGCTGTCTCCAGACACTGCCACATCCACTATCCAGACTTTTTTGTCTTTCTTATCGACAATTGTTAAGTCTGGGGTGTTATGTTGCAGGTGCTTGTCTGTTTGAATTCTGAAGTCCTAGAGCAGTTTAATTTTATCATTTTCTATGGCTTTCTCTATTTTATGATCCCACCAGTTTTTGCTTACAGGCAAATGATATTTTTTGCAGATCTTCCAATGCACCATTGTTGCTACTTTGTCATGCCGCTACTTGTAGTCAGTCTGTGCAATCTTCTTGCAACAGCTTACCAGGTGGTCCACTGTTTCTTCAGCTTCTTTGCATAGGCGGCACCTACTGTCTGTTGCCGTCTTCTCAGTTTTGACTTTGTATGCATTTGTTCTTAAGGCTTGGTCTTGTGCAGCCAGAATTAGTCCCTCGGTCTCTTTCTTCAATTTTCCTGCTCTTAGCCATTGCCAGGTCTTGTTAATATCTGCTTTCCCAGCTAGTTTTTTTAACGTATTGGCCATGTAGTGCTTTGTCTTCCCATACCTCTATTCTGTTCTTCATTGTATTATTATTATCGATCATCGCACAGTCAGCCAGATGTTCAGACTGGATTTGGCATTTTGTCTACCTATCGAGTCCTTACCCAGGACCTGGGATAGGCAGATGTGGATGTTTGATGGTATTACAGATATCGTCGCAGGATGGAAGCAGTTCCTAATAAGGCTGCCTTTTGCAATTGACTAATAGCGAATTTGTCAATGCCAATGGTGTTCAAGTGGTGCTCCAGTTGTTTTGGGATTGCACCCAAGGAGCCTATGACTATTGGTACTACCCTTGCTTGCTTTTGCCACAGTCTTTCTATTTCTATTTGTAGGTCTTTGTATTTTGTTATCTTCTCCAGTTCTTTCTCTTCTATTCTGCTGTCTCCAGGCACTGCCACGTCCACTATCCAGACTTTTTTGTCTTTCTTATCGACAATTGTTAAGTCTGGGGTGTTATGTTGCAGGTGCTTGTCTGTTTGAATTCTGAAGTCCCAGAGCAGTTTAATTTTATCATTTTCTATGACTTTCTCTATTTTATGATCCCACCAGTTTTTGCTTACAGGCAAATGATATTTTTTGCAGATCTTCCAATGCACCATTGTGCTACTTTGTCATGCCGCTGCTTGTAGTCAGTCTGTGCAATCTTCTTGCAACAGCTTACCAGGTGGTCCACTGTTTCTTCAGCTTCTTTGCATAGGCGGCACTTACTGTCTGTTGCTGTCTTCTCAATTTTGACTTTATATGCATTTGTCCTTAAGGCTTGGTCTTGTGCAGCCAGAATTAGTCCCTCGGTCTCTTTCTTCAATTTTCCTGCTCTTAGCCATTGCCAGGTTTTATTATTATCTGCTTTCCCAGCTATTTTTTTCATGTATTGGCCATGTAGTGCTTTGTCTTCCCATGCCTCTATTCTGTTCTTCATTTGGTCTTTCTTGTAGGCCAGTTTGGTCTCTCCAGTAGTTAGTAAGCCTTCCTGATATACTAATTTCAGTGCATCTTCATCATTGTTCTCCAGATATTCTTCCAAAGCCATTTTTTCTTCTTCAACCATCTGATGTACTTGTAGCATTCCACGCCCACCTATTTGCCTTGGTAGATAAAGTCTGTCAATGTCACTGCGTGGATGAAGGGCATGATTCATTGTCATTATTTTTCTGGTCTTCCTATCCATTTCTTTTAGTTCTGCTTGAGTCCAGTCCACTATTCCAGCTGTGTACCTAATGACTGGGATTGCCCAGGTGTTGATTGCCTTTATGGTATTTCCTCCATTGAGTTTGGACTTTAAGATCTTCTTCACTCTCTTGATGTATTCACCTCTAATCTTTTTCTTGACTTCAGTGTGCTTGATGTTGTCAGCTTGAAGGATACCCAAGTATTTGTAGTACTCTTCCTCATCCAGACTCTTAATGTTATTTTCGTGGGGCATCTTGATTCCTTCAGTTTTCACTATTTTTCCTTGTTTGATAGTAAGTGTGGCACATTTGTCCAAGCCAAACTCCATTACAATATCTTGGCTATATATACGGACAGTGTTGAGCAGCGATTCTATTTCAGATGATGTTTTTCCATACAGCTTCAGATCATCCATATAAAGGAGGTGGGATAGTCTGGCAGATGTTTTTGATGTTTGATAGCCATGTCCTGAGTTATTCAGTATTGTTGACAGAGGAAACAGTGCAATAACAAATAGTAATGGTGATAATGAATCTCCTTGAAATATTCCTCTCTTGATATTAACCTCTCCCAGCCTCTCACCATTGATCTGCAACTGTGTCTTCCATTGTGCCATCGATCTTTGCACAAATTTTCTGATGTTTCTACTGACTCCTGTTATTTCTAGGCACTTTATTATCCAATCATGTGGCAGAGAGTCAAATGCCTTTTTGTAGTCAATCCATGCCACATTCAGGTTGGTCTTCCTTCTCTTGCAGTTTTCCAAGATCATTTTGTCTATTAGGAGTTGATCTTTTGTTCCTCTGCTATTGGGGCGGTTTCCTTTCTGCTCAGGTGGAAAGAGATTGTTTTCAACTAGATGCTGTTGTACTGCATCAGCTACCACACCAGTTAGTAATTTGAAAGTTGTTGGTAAGCAGGTAATTGGCCTGTAGTTACCTGGTGTTGCCCCTTTTGCTGGATTTTTCATTATTAGGTAGGTTTTCCCAGTTGTTAGCCACTTTTCAATTTCTCCTCCTTGTAGTATATTGTTGAACTGCTTGGCAATGAGTGGGTGTATAACAGTTAGATGTTTCAACCAAAACCCATGCAGTTCATCTTCACCTGGTGCTGACCAATTTTTGATTTTCTTTGCTCTTTTTTCTACCATTTTTGTTGTTATTACTAGTTCTTTCATTTCAACTTCTGTTTTATTTGCATCCACCTCTTTTAACCAAGCCGCATCCTTGTTGTATTTCTTTGGGTTATCCCATATCTGCTTCCAGAACTGCACTGTTTCTTCCTTGTCAGGTACTGACTGATTCTTGCAGTTTCTCCATTGATGGATTGGTAGAAACGTTTCTGATTGGATTGAAATTGGAGGTTCTGCCTATAGTTTGCAATTCGAGCTTCATATCTACTGATTTTCCTGGCTATAGCTGTTATTTGTTGCTTTATTATTTCCAGTGCTTCCTTGATCTTCCTTGTTTCTAAGTGGTATTTCTTGATTAGGTATTCTTTGGTCTTCTTGTTCTTCAGCTTCTTTTCTTTCATCTGTTCTAGCTTGCTTGCATGTGATCTTAACTTGCTGATCTTATTTTCTAGTCTAACCTTCCATTTTTCTGGTGCACTGTTTGTTTGTTTTTCTTTTTTGTTGATTTTGCATCCCAGGTATTCTGTTATAACTGCAGCTGTGCTGTACATTAGTTGGTTTGTTTCTTGCAGTGAATTGGTGCTTATACTTGATAGTACAGTATTTGCATCTTTTAAGGCTTGTGCTAGCTGTTTCTTTGGAACAAGCTTCAATGCAGGTAGCCTTATTCTGTTGTTTTTGTGCTGTTCTAGATGCTCAGTTATTCTTTGTTTCAATTCTTTTATTTCTTTAGTTAGAGGGTTTTGTTCTTCCTAGAGGTGCCTGGTTTCCAAATGAGAACAGTTGTATATCTCTGCTGGATTCCTTCACTGCCAACTCCCCCTGGTTTGCCTCTACATTCTGAATTACTTCTGGTAAGGCTTTGATTTCTTTGCCCTGGGTAAACCTTTGCAGTTCGTCCAATTCTGTTTCTGTGAATACTTTATTTCGTGTTATAAATCGGCGTTGATCTGCTAGTCTCTGTTCTGTTATTTCTGATTCTGGATGTTGTTCTTTCCAGAACTGGTGCATTCGTTTTAGATATCCTCTTCTTGTTGGACTTGATCTGTAGTAACAGATCATTATTTCTTTGTTTTCCATCACTGTGTATCTGCGACGGGTAAACACCTTTTCTTCCAGTAGTTCTGCAGCTGCTGGCCCTGGTTGCTCAGCCAACAGTCCTGAGTCCTGTAACCCATTTTTCACCAGATATCCAGGAACTCCAATATCTAGTGCGGACCTTGTTAACCCGGGCGACGTCCGAGCCGGTATGGCATTCTGAAATTTACGTCTCACCATATTTTTTATGGGAGAGACACTCTTTGTCTGACTCCTCTGATGAGACCTGTCCAGTATGGTTGAACCTCTGGCATAGCTCTCATCTTCCTCAGAGTACACAAGCCCCACAACCACGTCAAGGTAGTGCCTCACTGGGGGTTATTATTATTATTACTATTATTATTATTATCATTATTATTATTATTTAACAGAGACCTGTGGGCACCAGCTGCTGGCACCCCTGGGGCACCTGTCTTACCTGATGGGGACTCCTTCTCCAGGAGGTTGACTCCTGCAGGGTCTTCTCTGAGAGCGTCGAGTTTCTCGTTCCAGTCTTCCCAGTTTACCTCTTCAACTCTAGAAAAAAAAGACCCCAAGAGTTATACGTAGCAGTCGCGGAATCTTGCGAGTCTCCCGGGGCCTCCTGCGCCCTTTTGTGCTCGAGAGAAGCCAGGGAAGGTCCGTTTCTGAAACGGCGCGTTTCGTACCCCAAGCGGGCGGGTGGTTAAGCTTACCGGAAAAACCACCGTTGGTCTTTCTTCTCCTCGGAGCCGATGGAGAGGAAACAGCCGGCTCTCTGGGTCTTCTTGCAGCACCAGATCCAGTTTCTCTCTATCTCCAGGATAGCAATGGCTCTCTGCAAATAGAGGGAGGTTGGTGAAGGGAGCTTATAAATGAGAGAGAGAGAGAGAGAGAGAGAGAGAGAGAGAGAGAGAGAGAGAGAGAGAGAGAGGGGAAGAAGAAGAAGAAGAAGAAGAAGAAGAAGAAGGAGGAGGAGGAGGAGGAGGAGGAGGAGGAGGAGGAGGAGGAGGGAGAGAGAGAGAGGGGGGAAGGAGGGAGGGAGAGAGAAGAGATAGATGTGAGAGAGAAGGAGGGAGGGACGGAGAGGGAGAGAAGAGATAGATGTGAGAGAGCAGGAGGGAGGGAGGGAGAGAGGGAGATGGAGAAAAGAGATAGATGTGAGAGAGAAGGAGGGAGGGAGGGAGGGAGGGAGGGAGGGGGAGAGAAGAGATAGATGTGAGAGAGCAGGAGGGAGGGAGGGAGAGAGGGAGAGAAGAGATAGATGTGAGAGAGCAGGAGGGAGGGAGGGAGAGAGGGAGAGGGAGAGAAGAGATAGATGTGTGAGAAAGAGAGAGGGAGGGAGGGAGAGAGGGAGAGGGAGGGAAAGAAGAGATAGATGTGCGAGAGAAGGAGGGATGGAGGGAGGGGGAAAGAGAAGAGATAGATGTGTGAGAAAGAGGGATGGAGAGGGAGAGGGAGAGAGAGGGAGAGAAGAGATAGATGTGAGAGAGCAGGAGGGAGGGAGGGAGAGAGGGAGAGGGAGAGAAGAGATAGATGTGTGAGAAAGAGGGATGGAGGGAGAGAGGGAGAGGGAGAGGGAGGGAGAGAAGAGATAGATGTGAGAGAGAAGGAGGGATGGAGGGAGGGGGAAAGAGAAGAGATAGATGTGTGAGAAAGAGGGATGGAGGGAGAGAGGGAGAGGGAGAGGGAGAAGAGATAGATGTGAGAGAGAGGGAGAGAAGAGATAGATGTGAAAGAGCAGGAGGGAGGGAGAGAGGGAGAGGGAGAGAAGAGATAGATGTGTGAGAGAAGGAGGGATGGAGGGAGAGGGAGAGAGAAGAGATAAATGTGAGAAAGAGGGATGGAGGGAGAGGGAGATGTGAGAGAGAGGGAGAGAAGAGATAGATGTGAGAGAGAAGGAGGGAGGGAGGGAGAGGGACGGGGAGAGGGAGATAAGAGATAGATGTGAGAGAAAGAGGGAGGGAGAGAGGAAGGGAGGGAGGGAGGGAGAAGGAGAGGGAGAGGGAGAGAGAGAGAGAGAAGAGATAGATGTGAGAGAGAAGGAGGGAGGGAGGAAGAGGGAGAGAAGAGATAGATGTGTGTGTGAGAGAGAGAGGGATAGAGGGAGAAGAGAAGGAGAGGGACAGGAGAGAGAGGAGACATGATATGTGGATGGAGATAGATAGATAGATGGCCACCGTCCCGATCGAAGGGGTCTTACCTGCAACTGCCAGACGCTCTGGCTGTACCCGGAGACGTTGGTAACAGTTTCACTCATCAGGGCAATCAACATGTTGAGCAAGAGGATGTAGGTCAAGATGACGAAGAGGAGGACCAACAGCATCGCAATGTCGCTGTACTTCAACTTCTCGTTGTACTCCAGGTCGCCCATGCCGATGGTGAACCTGAAGAGCTGCAGAGCAGCCTGAAATAGCCCCGAATATACGGCCTGGTCTTTAGAGTCGTCGCTGAGCGGGAGGGACTCGTTGCGGGCAGGATGGGAAGCGTCCCCGGTGAGAATGACGAGAGCTGCAAGGAGTCATTGGAAGTTTCAGACTTTCCTCCGCGCAACTTTTGGGCAACCTTTTCCATTTAAGGGACAGGTTGCCCAAAAGTTGCGCGGAGGAAGGGCTGAAAGTGGCTGGTTGATCTTTGGAGGCCCCGTTACTTATTCAACTGAGCTTATTGTTTCATTTTTGTTTGCATCAAGATCCCAAGAAATGTGGATTCTGAATTCTTTACTGCATGCTCTTTCCATGGCTGAATCTTTCTCTCATTGATTCATTCATTCATTCACTCACTCACTCATTCATTCCTTTATTCACTCATTCACTCATTTATTCACATTACTTATTCATTCATTCATTCACTCATTCATTAGTTCACTCATTCACTCATTCATTTGTTTCATTTCTTACTCATTCACTCATTTATTCATTCACTCATTCACTTGCTCATTTATTCATTCACTCATTCATTTATTAATTCATTTACTCACTCATTCACTCATTTATTCATTCACTCGTTCACTTACTCATTTATTAATTCATTTACTCGCTCATTCACTCATTTACTCATTCATTCACTCATTCACTCGCTCATTTATTCATTCTCATTTGTTCTCATTCACTCATTCATTTATTAATTCATTTCCTCGCTCATTCACACTCATTTATTCATTCACTCATTCATTTATTAATTCATTTACTCACACTCATTCACTCATTCACTCACTCATTTATTCATTCACTCATTCATTCACTCATTCACATTTATTTATGAATTCCTTTACTCACTTATTCACTCATTTACTCATTCATTCACTCATTCATTTATTAGTTCATTTACTCATTCACTCACTCATTTATTCATTCACTCATTCATTTGTTCACTCATTCACTCATTCATTAATTCATTTACTCACACTCATTCACTCATTTATTCATTTATTCATTCACTCATTCATTCGTTCACTCATTCACATTCATTTATGAATTCCTTTACTCACTTATTCACTCATTTACTCACTCATTCACTCATTCATTTATTAGTTAATTTACTCATTCATTCAGTCACTTGTTCATTCGATTTCTATGTCAAACAAGAGACTCTGTCTGGATTCAGCTGGTGGTCCTTCTCTCTGCTCAAAACTGAAACCTGCTCATCCTTTTTAAAGTACACCTGCCACAGAAATCCTTCCTAATATAAATTCCAGCCCAGCGGTTGTAGACAGGATTCCCGGAGCTCAAAACAGACCTAGTGGATCATCTCTTTAACCAAGGACACCAAGAGCAGGACCTCTCCTGGATCCTGGGCTCCCCCCCCCCCGTTCTGGTGGAACTAAGAAAGAGCTTAACTTGGCCACGCTCACCTGTGCCTCCCCCATCACCCTGACACTCACCTGTTGCAAAGCCAAATAGGAAGATCACATAAACCATCAGGAAGTGCAGAAGGTCTCTCAAGATGGCCTGGAACGAGAATGAGAAGCAATATGGAGATGGGCGGTTTTCACACTCGGCACCTTTAAGACGGCTGGATTTCAATTCCCCAAATCCGCCAATCTTAAAGGCGCCCAATTTGAAAATCACGGTTCTAGGTCAGTGGTGGCGAACCTATGGCCCGGGTGCCAGAGGCGGCACTCAGAGCCCTCTCTGTGGGCACGCGCGCCCTCGCCCCAGTCCTAGGCCTTCAGCTGGGTTTTACAAAACCTTTTTGCTTTAGGCCTCCACCACCGTGTGCAAAAAAGAAAAAGGTTCAATCAATCAGTCAATTTCAACTTCTCGCGGGAAAAAAAAGATCTTGCAAAGTTGGAATTGATTGAACTTTTTAGTCCCACCCAGTCTGCCGTTACCACTGCAGCCACGCCCACCCAATGGGCCACGCCCACCCAATGGGCCACGCCCACCCGGCATCCAACGATGCGTAAGTGGGTTTTGGGTTGCAGTTTGGGCACTCGGTCTCTAAAAGGTTCGTCATCACTGTTCTAGGTTATTCAAGTCTATTGCCAATGTTGCTAACACGAGTTAACCGGGCGGGAAATAAATAAATACGGGTTGTCCTCGTTTAACAACTGCCTTGTACAGCAATCTTTTGCCCTTATGACGAAAAAGTAACTTTGCCACCAGCCCTTGCATTTGTAGCCTTTGCGAGAAAGCAGAAGTCAGATCGTGAACATTGTTGTGATGTTTCACTCCGGAACCGCGTTACTTAATGGCCAAGTTACCGGTTTCAACCGGGGTTGCTAAATGAGGACGACCTGCAATTGACTGGCTTCGTTTTAGATTCTGAGCTGCCCTGTGAAATCAGAAGTAATCCGATATTTGGAAATGGAAACAATCCGGTTGTTTGATCTACCTTCTGGATCATCACGATGTAGATCCCCGTCTGCTGGAGGCCTCGGGTGTAGTAGAGCATGTTCACCCAGCCCAAAAGCAAGGCGAACACCATGGGCAGCACGTATTGCTCCACATCTGCAAAGTACATGACGGAGGAGGCCAGGATGGCACACGCCTGCACAAATCTGCCGGGGCCAGAGAGAGAAAGAGAAGCAAGAGAAGAGCAACTGAGAGGATTAAAGGCCTGAAGACAAAACATACGAAGAAACGGTTGCAGGATTTGGGTTTGGCCAGTCTAGAGAAAATAAGGACCAGTGTGTGTGTGTGTGTGTGTGTGTGTGTGACATGATAGCAGTCTTCCAATATTTGAGGGACTGCCACAAAGAAGAGGGGGTATGATCAGGTATGATATTTTTTTTCTCTTTTTCTTTTTTCTTTTTTTTTCTTTTTTGATTGTATATTGTTAATTTTGTTATTAATAACCCTGTACTCTGCTCTGGGAAGTGAGGGGGGAGGGGTTGAGGGTGGGTAGGTAAATAGGTAGAATAGGATAATATAGATATAGTAATTTATGAGAGAGGTGCTGCTTGGGTATTTCCCCCACGCTGTATTCCTGTATTCGAGAGGGATGAGAGGGGAGGAAGGTGAAGGGAGGAAGTAGGATACTAAGAGGAGAAGGGAGGAGAGGAAGGTGGAGGGAGGAAGTAGGGTGGTAAGAGGAGAAGGGAGGAGAGGAAGGTGAAGTGAGGAAGTAGGATGGTAAGAGGAGAAGGGAGGAGAGGAAGGTGAAGGGAGGAAGTAGGATGGTAAGAGGAGAAGGGAGGAGAGGAAGGTGAAGGGAGGAAGTAGGATGCTAAGAGGAGAAGGGAGGAGAGGAAGGTGGAGGGAGGAAGTAGGGTGGTAAGAGGAGAAGGGAGGAGAGGAAGGTGAAGGGAGGAAGTAGGATGGTAAGAGGAGAAGGGAGGAGAGGAAGGTGGAAGTAGGATGGTAAGAGGAGAAGGGAGGAGAGGAAGGTGGAGGGAGGAAGTAGGATGCTAAGAGGAGAAGGGAGGAGAGGAAGGTGGAAGTAGGATGGTAAGAGGAGAAGGGAGGAGAGGAAGGTGGAGGGAGGAAGTAGGGTGGTAAGAGGAGAAGGGAGGAGAGGAAGGTGGAGGGAGGAAGTAGGGTGGTAAGAGGAGAAGGGAGGAGAGGAAGGTGGAGGGAGGAAGTAGGATGGTAAGAGGAGAAGGAAGGAGAGGAAGGTGAAGGGAGGAAGTAGGATGGTAAGAGGAGAAGGGGAGAGGAAGAGAGTAATGAGGGGAGGAGAAAAAGAGGAGGGAAGTAAGGAAGGTATTAGGGAGGGTGGATACAGCTTGGGGGGGAAGGAGCAAGCGGCACCTATGGTTATGGTTATGGTTATGATTATGAATTTATTTTATTTTGTAAAGCAAATTTTGTTGTATAACTATGTTGGATAAAGGGAAAATAAAAAAAGTTTAATAAAAAAAGAAGAAGAGGGGGTTCAACTTATTTTCGAAAGGGCCTGAAAGCCAGACAAGCAACAATGGATGGAAACTAATCAAAGAGAGAAGCAACTTGGAATTAAGGAGAAACTTCCTAACAGTGAGGACAATTAACCAGTGGAACAGCTTGCCTCCGGAAGTTGTGGGTGCACAATCACTGGAAGTTTTAAAGAAGAGGTTGGACAACCATTTGGTATAGGGCAGGGATGGCGAACCTTTTAGAGACCGAGTGCCCAAACCGCAACCCAAAACCCACTTATTTATCACAAAGTGCCAGGGCCGCATCAGCATTGTGGCGCCCTCGGGGGGGGGCAGGGAGGTGCCTCTGAGTGCCGCCTCTGGCACGCAAAACCTGGGGGGTGCAAAAATGGGCCACCGTGCTGCAAGGTGCAAAAATGGCCGCCGCCGCGCTGCAGGGTGCAGATACAAGGCGCTGCACCACGCAAGAATGGGGCAGGGCTAGTGAGTATCACACAGGAACTAGCTCCGCCCCATTTGCAGCACGTGCGTGCTCGCGGTCCTGTGCGCGCATGCACGCATGTAAAATGCTTCCCCCTCCCTTTTCTTTCAGTCCACCAATCGACAATGATTGGTGACCTCTGCTCTACCAACTCTACTCAAGCTTGCTAGTCGGCTGCTTCACCTCCTTTGTGCTAGGCGGGGCTCCTGCTCCAGGCGGCAGTGGTGGCCTGATGGACCTGCTGCTGGCGGCAGTGGTGCGTGTGCCAACAGAGAGGGCTCTAAGTGCCGCCTCTGGCACGCGTGCCATACGTTCGCCACCACTGGAATAGGGTCTCCTGCCTGAGCAGGGGGTTGGACTAGAAGACCTCTAAGATCCCTTCCAACTCTATTCTGAATTTTGGGAATGTAATCGTCAACGCTGCAAACAAATTTGGCCGAAGCCGTTTCCACTTCGTCTTCAGTTGCCACAAAATTCGGAGAGGGGGAAATGTGTACTTTTAAGGTTAGACTAAACAATAAATTGTCCTGTGGGAACCAAGGTCATTGCTGCCTGAATTTTGGCGGGCTGAAGCTTCTGTTAGAAAGCCCGCCAAAGCAGTTAATGGGGGGAATGTGATTTATGACATATTACTGGGGTGGGAAATTCAACTTTGCAACGTTGCAACCTTTGGCCGGGAACTTCAGTCTTGGTTTCACTTTGGATCGTGCCCATACTTTGTAGCCAAATAAATATATAATAAATAAATAATAGAATAATCAAGGAGAGAAGCAATCTAGAACTAAGGAGAAACTTCCTGACAGTTAGAACAATTAACCAGTGGAACAACCTGCCTCCAGAAGCGGTGAATGCTCCAACACTGGAAGTTTTTAAGAAGAGACTGGACAGCCATTTGTCCAAAATGAGATAGGGTTTCCTGCCTGAGCAGGGGGTTGGACTAGATGACCTCCAAGGTCCCTTCCAACTTTATTATTATTATTATTATTATTATTATTATTATTATTATTATTAAACCTCTTGTCTTGGAGTTCTGTTTTTACGGGTCTCATCTATCGGAAACATGACATTAACGGTAAGTATGAATGACTTTGAGACAGTTCACTACAGTTGAGTTCCCCAACCTTTCGGAGTTGGCAGACCAGAGCAGGGGGAGGAGGTAAGGAAGGGAGGGTTTGGGGGGGGGGTGATGAGTACACATGCACATGTATGTGCATGAGCACCCATTGCTCGCATGAGTGGGGCCGTGAATCCCCGCGGTGCTTGCGATAATGAGCCAGCTGTCAAAGCAAGAACATCCAATGTTAGCTGTGCTGCTGTGAACAGAGTTATTGTAAGTCACCTCTGCAAGAGGAGATCGGTCCAGGTGGTCTGTTGGTAGGAAACATAGCATCTGGGATATTGCTCCACCATCTGGTTAGTGGCTTCCATGGCCCCATTAGTACAAGGCTTTTCAACCAGTGGTACGGGTACCACCTGTGGTCCATTGGCACCTGGCAGGTGGTACTCGACCATCCTAAAAAAGGGGTAGTGGGGGAGGGGAATGAGCTGAACCGGTGGCAGCACCGCACAAGCCTGAGCGAGAGACGGCTGGAGCTGCAGGGCTGTCAGGGCTCAGCGGAAGCCCCAGGATCAGTGCCGCTTTCCAGTTGATTGGCGCTTATTCGGGGCTGTCAGGGCTCAGTGGAAGCACCAGGATCAGTGCCAGGCTTCAGCTGGAGCTCGGCGTTGATCCTGGTGCTTCTGCTGAGCCCTGAAGAAGCACCAGTCAGCTGGAAAGCAGCACTGATCCTGGTGCTTCTGCTGAGCCCTGAAGAAGCACCAATCAGCTGGAATGTTGCAGCCTCTCCAGGGTCTTGTGATTTACATTCAGATGCTTGGCAATTGATTCATATTTCTGACGGTCACAGTGTCCCAGGGTCATGGGAAGTGACCAAAACCTGCTGCAACCACCCAGCAGATGGGGGGGGGGGGAATAAAAACCAAACACCCCCCACCCCACCCCTGCTGCCAATCCTCAACAGAAGTGCTCACAACAATGAAAACCTCGGACGAGAGGAAGAGTGCCGCCAGGCGGGCAGGCAGGTGTCTTGCTCGGCTGTGGCTCGGGGGGCACTTTTTTCAGTGCCACTGTCACTTCAAACAGTCACTAAGCGAACTGTTGTAAGTCGAGGACTACCTGTACTTTATCACTTTTTTTCCTTTTTTTTTTTTGGTCAAGTTTTTGACACCTTGCTAGGCGACTGGTGGTCCTCGGATGTTGCCATATCCTAAAAGTGGTACAATGGGTGAAAAGGTTGAAAAGCCCTGCATTAGTAGATGGGTGAAAAGCAGATGATAGACCTTGAGATGATCCAATTAATTTAAGAAGTTCTTTGAAGAGTTTCACCTGTCGGAACCATGACACCAGCCACTTATGCATCCCAGTGGCAGATAGGCTGCAGCCCAGAGGCTGGTGACCCTTGGTTTAGGGAATGAACAGATAAGACAGGACAAAGCCCACAGCTGTATAACAGGCAGAGAAAAAAAACACCGACTGGAGGGTCCCTGTTTTGTCAAACTGTACAAAGAATCAGTGGGAGATTTGTACTTTTAGGCTTGCAAGATTCTGTTAATGCAGCTTTACAATAAAGTAGAATTAGTTCATCTGATCATTATTTCCTGGCTGGTTTACCAACGGTATAAAATCCCACTGGGTGATTTTGAGGCAATCATTAGGACAGTGGTTCTCAACCTGTGGGTCGGGACCCCATTTGGGGTCGAATGACCATTTCATGGGGGTCGCCAAACAACGCAGTCTGCCATTTTTTCCTCCTTTTCCTTAGCTGTGCTACTCCCTCTTATTCTATTGGCTTTTGAAAGCCAATAGAATAGACTCTCTTGAATAGAGTCTAATTCTATTGGCTTTCCAAAGCCAATAGGAATTGTCCAGGCTGTCTCTGCCCTGCTGAGCCCGCCAAAAGCCCCATTCTGCAAATGGTGCTGCACTAATTGGGTAGTCCTCGACTTACGACCGGTTGAGTAATCCTCGACTTATGACCGGTTGGGGGTCGTGGCATTAAAAAGGTTGAGAACCACTGCACTAGGAGATGGAGAGTTCTAGTCTCACCTGTAAAGCTGGCTGGGTGACCTTGGACCAATCCTTCTCTGTCAGCCCAGCCCACCTCACCGTGTTGTTGTTGTAGGTAAAATAGGAGGAAGGAGTAAAGTATTATGTATGTTCCCTGCCTTGAATTATGTATAAAAATAATGAAGGTGGGATAAAAAGAAATTAAAAAATAAATGTTAAGGTGAACGTAACAGGAACATCTCTGAAAAGCAAAGCGACTGACAATTATATATGACAGCAGTTAGGGTTTAGATAGAATCAATTAGCAATAAGACTGGCGCATATTATAGCTAATCCTTCCAGAAAAACAGCAACGTATACGCACGTACAGGAATATTTCGAAGCAACTGTCCACTAGAAGACTTTTCCACGAGAAGCGTCTTCTCCAGAAGTAAAAACTCTAAAAGGGAATAAACAGGCAGAGAAGTCAGAACACTGCATTATGACAGGGATGTGGGAAGGGGTGTGTGCAAGACTGGGTTCACACTGGCTAATTGTTAATTTGGGGGAGATTTAGCAAGGCTCTTGAGCAGTGGGTCTCAACCTTTTTAGTGCCGCGACCCCCAACCGGTCATAAGTCGAGGACTACTCAACCGGTCGTAAGTCGAAGACTACTCAACGGGTGCAGCACTGTTTGCAGAATGGGACTTTTGGCGGGCTCAGCAGGGCAGAGACAGCCTGGACAATTCCTATTGGTTTTTGAAAGCCAACAGAATTAGACTCTATTCAAGAGAGTCTATTCTATTGGCTTTCAAAAGCCGATAGAATAAAAGGGAGTAGCACAGCTAAGGAAAAGGGGAAAAAAAATGGTGGACTGCGTTGTTTGGCGACCCCCGTGAAATGGTCGTTTGACCCCAAATGGGGTCCCAACCTACAGGTTGAGAACCACTGCTCTTGAGAGTGCAGATGAGCTGCTTCCACCTAGCGTGCCAGTCTGCTATGCCACAGTGGACAATCACTTAAATATGAGCCAGCCGTGTGCTGCAGCTGCCAAAAAAGGCCAACACAGTGCTAGGCTGCATTAACAGAGGGAGAGAATCAAGATCATGGAAAGAGTTAATACCGCTTTACAAGGCCTTGGTAAGGCCACACTTGGAATCCTGCTTCCAGTTTTGGTCACCACGATGTAAAAAAGATGCTGAGACTCTAGAAAGAGTACAGAGAAGAGCAACAAAGATGATCAAAGGGACTGGAGGTTAAAACATACAAGGAACGGTTGCTGGAATTAGGTCTGTCTAGTTTAACGAAGAGAAGGACGAGGGGGGACATGATAGCAACCTTCCAGTATCTCAGGGGCTGCCCCAAAGAAGAGGGAGTCAAGCTATTCTTCAAAGCGCCTGAAGGCAGGACAAGAAGTAACGGATGGAAACTAACCAAGGAGAGAAGCAACCTAGAACAAAGGAGAAACTTCCTGACAGCATAATTAACCAGTGGAACTTCTTGCCTCCAGAAGCGGTGAATGCTCCAACACTGGAAGTTTTTAAGAAGAGACTGGACAGCCATTTGTCTGAAATGGTATAGGGTTTCCTGCCTGAGCAGGGGGTTGGACTAGATGACCTCCAAGGTCCTTCCAACTTTGTATTATTATTATTGTTAGTTCACGCCACGGCATGGTGGCAGCAATCTGTTGAGAAGAGGGCTTCTTAAACCTTTAACCGCAGACCGCTGGTCCCATATCAATTGCAGAAATGCAAGTATGAATACAGGTCGTCCTCATTTTATGACAATAGGGACCAGAAAAATGTGTCGTTAAACAGTGAGGTTGTTAAGTGAGACACCCCACGATTGCAATTTACCATCTTCCCTCCTGAATGTCGATGGAGATTCTCAGCCCTCCAGATTCATAGTTGTCCCAAAGGTGCTTTTTTCACGAGGCCACTGGACTTTCTTGTTTTTTCTTTGAAGATGTTTCACTTCTCATCCCAGAAGCTTCTTCAATTCTGACTGGGATGGTGGGGAGTGGAAGGATTTATACTCCTTGCAGACAGCTGGTCGTTTGCCTTCTTTTACAGAGAGTCGTTGAGGCCATTTGGAGGTTTATCTGTGTCCTCAAGGTCACCTGAGTGGTGCAAATAGGTGTGGAGCCTTCTTGGACCTGCTGAAAGGACCGTGTTGTAGTTACCGTATATGCCGGCGTATTAGGCGACCCGGCGTATAAGACGACCCCCGTCTTTATAGCCGGGCCGCATTCCTAGAACGTCGTCTTATACGCCAGTATTTCCGGCGTATAAGACGACTCGGCGTATAAGACGACCCCTGTCTTTGGCGCCGATTTCAGCACTCGCGGAAGTCGTCTTATACGCCGGCATTTACGGTACTAGAAGAGTCCTCTCCAAGAAGTTCCAAGAAGTTGCAAGTAGGCTCCACACCCATTTGCGCTACTCAGGACATAGATAAACCTCCAAGTGGCCTCAACGACTCTCTGTAAAAGAAGCAAACGACCAGCTGTCTGCAAGGAGTATAAATCCTTCCATTCCCCGCCATCCAGTCAGAGCTGAAGAAGCTTCTGGGATGAGAAGCGAAACGTCTTCAAAGAAAAACAAGAAAGTCCAGTGGCCTCTGGGATAATCTTCCCTGACTTTCCTTGTCGGAGCTGACTGGAAAGGCCACAAGTGGTGATCACGTGACCCCCAGGATGCCGAAACCATTATAAATACACGCCGCTACCTAAGACTGCAATCTTCCGGCTGCTACAACAGTCATTGTTGTAGCAATGAAGAGAAGAGCAACAAAGATGATCAGGGGACTGGAGGCTAAAGCATATAAGGAACGGTTGCTGGAATTGGGGATGTCCAGTTTAATGAAGAGAAGGACGAGGGGGGACATGATAGCAGTATTCCAGTATCTCAGGGGCTGCCCCAAAGAAGAGGGAGTCAAACTCTTCTCCAAGGCGCTTGAAGGCAGGACAAGAAGCAACGGGTGGAAACTAACCAAGGAGAGAAGCAACCTGGAACTAAGGAGAAACTTCCTGACAGTGAGAACAATTAAACAGTGGAACAACCTGCCTCCAGAAGCGGTGAATGCTCCAACACTGGAAGTTTTTAAGAAGAGACTGGACAGCCATTTGTCTGAAATGGTGTAGGGTTTCCTGCCTGAGCAGGGGGTTGGACTAGATGACCTTCAAGGTCCCTTCCAACTTTACTACTACTATTATTATTATTAGTGCAAGTAAGATGCTTCTTCAGTGCTATTTTAACTTCAAACTGTTCTTAAACGAATGGTCGTAAGTCAAGGATTGCCGGTACGTGGAGTTATGACAAGCACAATGCTGCAAACACCATTTGCAAGAAGAGGCATTCCGTCTTGACCACAACTGGGACTACAATTTCCCTTGCTAAGCAAAACAGTTGTTAAGTGAATCCCGCCCAGTTGTATGAACTTTTTTTTGCCACTGTTAAGCAGCTCGCTGCAGTTGTTAAGCAAATCATGTGGTCGTTAAGCGGATCTGGCTTCGCCCGCTGACTTTTTTTTTGTCAGAAGCCGGTTGGGGAAGTCTCAGATGGCGATCATGTAACCCCGAAATGCTGCAACCGTCGTAAACGCATGCGGCTAGCTAAGGTTGCAACTTTACAGTTGCTGCAACCAGCCAGCAAAGTCATAGGTGCAAGTAAGACCCCTTTTTTTCACTGCTGTTTTAATTTGGGTTGTTAAATGAATAGTCGTAAGACAAGGACTGCATCTATTAAAAATGTGTTTGTGGTTAGAGGAGCTGTGAACAAAAAGGACACCTTACCTGAGCAATGAGGAGATAAATGCCACCAATCAAAATGAAGACAGGCCCAACAAGTCTTAAGAAGTCCTTGATTGTCATTGTCGCTGGACGAGGAGGCTATAAACACAGGAAGAGAACAGGCTAAGAACAGAGACTTCAGCACCGAGGAGATGGCGGATCTTTCAGGTTGATGTTCCCCACCTTTGGCAGCTTTAAGATGGGTGGACTTCCACTCCCAGAATTCCCTAGCCAGAATGCTTTAAGAGTGGGGGACTTCCACTCCCAGAATTCCTCAGCCACTCTGCTTTAAGATGAGTGAACTCCAGTTCCCAGAACTCCCCAGCTAGCTTGCTTTAAGATGGGTGGACTTCAACTCCCAGAATTCCCCAGCTATCCTGCTTTAAGAGAGATGGACTTCAACTCCCAGAATTCCTCAGCCAGCCCTGCTTTAAGATGGGTGAACTTCAACTTCCAGAATTCCCCAGCCATCCTGCTTTAAGAGAGATGGACTTCAACTCCCAGAATTCCTCAGCCACCCTGCTTTAAGATGAGTGAACTCCAACTCCCAGAATTCCCCAGCTAGCTTGCTTTAAGTTGGGTGGACTTCAACTCCCAGAATTCCCTAGCCACCCTGCTTTAAGAGAGATGGACTTCAACTCCCAGAATTCCCCAGCCAGCCATGGGAACTGAAATCCTCAAATCTTAACGTTGCCAAGATTGGGCACCTCTGGTCTAGATCTTCTATATTTCATCTGAAGTACCAGCATCCTTCTGTGCCATTTCCAAAGGGATAAGATAATAACCTCTTCCACACCATCACCCAAGTCATTGATGGAAATGTTGAACTGCACAGGACCCAGGTCATCCTCTCAAGGCTTCCATCCTCTCTGAAGTGACCGCCTCCGCGGGCGCAATCAGATAGCCCACTGGACATGCATCACTAGTATGGTTTATATTTTAGCATTTTATGCAAGAGATTATCATGAGAGAAAGATTTGGAGGCTTTGGTGTGATCCCGGTAAACTATGTCTACAGCATTCCCCCTTTCTACTAAGCTAAAAATTCTACCAAAGTTGGTGAAATTAGTCGTGCATGATTTGCTTATAATTTGCTTGGAAGGGCTTCCAAACATGTTATTTGTTAGAATCCAATTATATTTCATCTCTAGTTATCGACTATGGAAAACCCCATTTCTGCTCTCTCTGGATTCTGTCATATTACGAAGGGGAAGGGGGATGAGCAAAGGGGTTTTATGGCTCTCACTTCCTTCATTAAAACTTCAAAGGGACTGAATGTGGATCTCACCAAGAGGACTGACCATAACAATATGGCCATCACCTTTCATGTACTCCTCTCTGAAGTCTCCCTTCCGCCGACCGTGAGGAAAAAGGGGTGGAAATGTAACACCTGGGATTGTCGCTGGAAGGACGGTGGAGGGGGGGGCTGCTTGGGAACACTTAAAACCTTGAATGGTAGGGGTGGGCCCTCAGGTCCTGTCTAGAACACCTGCAACCATCTTCTGTTAATAAAGATGCCTGTTGGAAGTACTCCAAGAGTTCTGTCTTCTTAAGATGCAAAGTGGGGTGGGTCCTTACATTATTTAAATAAAAAACATCAATGCAACTTCATCAGAACTTTGGAAACATATTCTTGTTTTGGATTGATACCATTATTAGTTTAAGTTTTTTAACTCTTCTGTTTTCCTGGAGTTCAATAAAGGTAGGCCTAGACTTAACAACAGTTTGTTTAGTGATTGTTCAAAGTTACAATAGCACGGAAAAAGGTGACTTATGACTGTTTTTCGCACTTACAACCGTGGCAGTCCCCAGGGTCACATGATCAAAATTTGAATGCTTGGCAACTCACTCATATTTATGGCAGTTGTAGTGTCCTGGGGTCACGTGATCCCCTTTTGCAACCTTCTGACCAGCAAAGTCAATGGGGAAGCCAGATTCAGTTAACAACTGGGTTACTAAATTAACAACGGCAGTGATTCACTTAGCAATGGGACAAAACTCCCTTAACAAGAAACGGGACAAAACTCCCTCAACAAATGTTTCACTTAACAACAGAAATTTTGAGCTCGATTGTGGTCGTAAGTCGAGGACTACCTTTAGGTATTCTTTTTTTGAGAGAGAGAGAGTTTGGTTGGACTTACAGAAAGGGTCTAACTCAAAGTCACCCCATTCCCTTTATCAAAAGCATCCATTTGTTTAAAGATGATTTACCTCGCCCTTTAGAGGCCTGTAGTAAGCAGTGGCTGTGAAGAGCAGCATGTAAATCAGATGGAGGAATAAACTGATGAAAAATCTTTTTCTAATGAAGGATTCCCACTTGTGCTGAAGTAGCTTATTCAGAGGCTCCAGGACCACCATTTTGTACCGGTTCTGTGGAAGGGAGAATGTCAGGGAATTGACTAGCTGCTGGTGTACAAAATGGAGTTGGAGATGCTGATACAAACTTGTAATTTTATATAAATAAATATGTTTTACATCTACATAGATGCAGCAAACTAGATAGTCAGGCAAACGGGCATCGTGCAGTAAATCAACACAACAGGAACATCATGAGGTAAATCAACACAACAGGAACATCATGAGGTAAATCAACACAACGGGCATCATGAAGTAAATCAACACAACAGGAACATCATGAAGTAAAACACAGCAGGAGCATCATGAGGTAAATCACAGAGCACAAAAGGGCGCTCAGAAGAAAAAGGCGGGAAAAAGGGAACCTCCCCTTCCACACCCACAGCAACCAATCACAGCACAGATGGCCTCACATAGCACTCTCCAACAAATCAACTACAAGATGCAAATATTTCTTTTAACTAAGACAGTTGTTCTCCGTTGATAACAGAAGGATAGGAAGTAACCTGAGATCTATTAGATTATTACTTTTGAAGATGTGTGTATCCATCATTTTCCTCTCCTTTTCGAAATGTATCAACATGAGTGCATCTCTTTGCCTCAGGGGTATGTCTCCCACTATTCTTTTGGAAGGGACCATCTCCGGTTTCTAAACTGTCAGGGAATTGCTCAGCCAGTGTCCGAATGAAGTCAGAGACACTGACGCATACTTGTAGCTTTATATAGATAAATATATTTTACATCTACATATACAGCAAACAAGATAATCAGGCAAACAGGAGCATTGTGAGGTAAATCACAGAGCACCCAGAACAAAAAGGCGAGAAAAAAGGGAACCTCCCCCTCCACATTCACAGTAACCAATCACAGCGCACATTGCCTCACACAGGAGCCAGCACTCTCCAATCAATCAACCACAACTGTGTGTTTTGGCTCACTATACAACCCCACTGCTCCAGCTGCTAAATTTAAATAACTTAACAGAGAAGGAAGGGAGATTCAAAGCACATCTTCTCAGTTAGTGCCATATTCTTCAGTCCCCACTAGACCAGGGGTCTCCAAAGTGGTCAGAACTGAACCCCAAGCTGAAGTGTTTGGAGACCCTTGTGTTGTGTTGTGTTGTGTTGCTGAAGTGTTTGGAGACACCCTCTAGATACAACCCCTATAATTTCAGCTCAGACCATTATGGGAAAAGCATTGAATTTATCTAAACCCCCACATCTAGAAACTGGATAAAAATAACGCTGTTCTTTTTCACAAAGCAGTTTAAAGAAAATAGAATAAAGCACCTTATAAATTCTAAAAAAAAAAATGATCCTGAGCCAACTTTTTCAGAAAGGGTTTTGCCCAGAAGAAGGAAGGAAGAATGGATGGATGGATGGATAGATGGAAGGAAGGAAGGAAGGAAGGCAAAAAAGAAAGGAAGGAGAAAAAGAGGGAGGGTGGGAGGGAAGAAGGAAGGAAGGAAGGAAGGAAGGAAGGAAGGAAGGAAGGAAGGCAAAAAAGAGAAAGGAAGGAGAAAAAGAGGGAGGGGAAGAAGGAAGGAAGGAGAAAAAAGGAAGGAAGGAGAAAAAGAGGGAGGAGAAGAAGGAAGGAGAAAAAAGGAAGAAAGGAGAAAAAGTGGAAGGGAGAGAAGAAGGAAGGAAGGAAGGAAGGAAGGAGAAAAAAAGGAAGGAAGGAGAAAAAGTGGAAGGGGGAGAAGAAGGAAGGAAGGAAGGGAAGAAGGAAGGAAGGAGAAAAAGAAGGAGGAAGGAAGGAAAGAGGAAGGAAGAGGAGAGGAGAAGAAGGAGGAAAAGGACAGAGAAGATCCCGAGAAGGACCATTCTTGACTGGATCTACTCACTGGAGTGTTACTGCTGTAGGCCAGGATCTCCAGCACTGAGTTCTCCTCACAGGTGTCGATGGAGGTCAGATCGTAGAGGGAGATGTGGATGGGACCATAAGTCCACTCGGTGAACTTGCGTGAAAGGTGCTGGAATTTGGGGTCCTTGATCTCTCGGTGGAGAATGTGCTTGAGGATCTGGGGAGACCAAAACACTTGAGTTGGTGACAGGGCTGTCTCTAGGGCTCAAGTCAAAATGATCTCAGTATCCAGCCATCATCTTGGCATTTTTGACCTTCCTGCAGTCACCTCTGATAACTAATCTACAGAATCAAAAAAAAAAAAAAACTCCTCGAACACGATTGTCTTTGGAATTTATCCTCTTGCACCTGACTAGGTCCACCACTCCTTTTTTCTACTCTTATCTCCAAGATCAAGAAAATGTGAAAACGCACCCTGAGGTCAAGGTAACACACCACAACATAGTCCAGTGGTGGCGAACCTATGGCACAGGTGCCAGAGGCGGCACTCAGAGCCCTCTCTGTGGACGCGCGCGCCGTCACCCCAGTCCTAGGCCTTCAGCTGGGTTTTCTAAAACCTTTTTGCTTCAGGCCTCCGCCAATGTGTACAAAAAAAAAGGTTAAATCAGTCAATTTCAACTTCTCGCGGGAAAAAAAAGATCTTGCAAAGTTGGAATTGATTGGTTGAACTTTTTAGTCCCATCCAGTCTGCTGTCACCACCATAGCCACCCCCAGCTAATGGGCCACACCCAGCCAATGGGCCACGCCCACCCGGCACCCAAAGATGCATAAGTGGGTTTTGGGTTGCAATTTGGGCACTCAGTCTCTAAAAGGTTCGCCATCACTGATATAGTCAGACAAATAATATGGTGAAGTACAGTTAGTCATCGACTCACAACCACAATCGAGCCCCCAAATTTTCCGTTGCTAAGCAAGACAGTTGTTAAGTGAGTTTTGCTTCATTTTAAGAACATTCTTTCCACCGTTGTTAAGTGAATCCCTGCACTGGTTAAGTTAGTCACACGCTTGTTAAGTGAATTTGGCTTCCCCATTGACTTTGCTTGCCAGAAGGTCACCGTATTGATCACATAACCCCAGAACACTGCAACCGTCATAAATACAAGTCATTTGCCAAGTGCCTAAATTTTGAACACGTGACCAAAGGGATGCTGCAATGGTCGTAAGTGTAAAAAAAACGATCATAAGTCTCTTTTTTCAGTGCCGTTGTAACTTCGAACGGTCACTAAACGAATATGTGCAAGTCGTGGACTACCTATCCCGGCAAGGAGGGGGACTACCTCGACTTTCCCAGTCTTCACGGCCAGCTTCAAAGGGGTCAGCTGTTTCCGGTTGACAATCTCTTCCAACTTGCAGGCAGGGTCAATTTCGGCCCCTTTCATGAGGATCTTGTCGTACATGTTGACCACGAGCTCGGTGTTCTTCTCCGTATCGTTGGCCACCATCACCAGCGCATGGAGGACAGTGTTGCCTATGGAATCCTGTTCGTTCAGTCTGGCGTTCTGATGAGGGTTATCCAGGAGGTACATGACGACCTCTGGCTGGTTGGTGCAAGCAGCCAAGGACAGAGGAAGTTCACCTGGGAGAGACAGAACGATGGGCCAAGGTTGCATTGGACATCTAGATCAGGGACGTCCAACCTTGGGTATACTTGAAGACTTGGCTGACTGGTGAATTCTGGGAGTTGATGTCCACAAGTCTTCAGGTGAACCAAGGTTGGATGTCCCTGATCTACAGTCAGTGGTGGGATTCAAATATGTGAACAACCGGTTCTCTGTGTGGATGCCTCTTCCGGACATCCGTTCTGGGCGTGGGCAACAAAAAAATAGCTACCAGTTCTGCCGAAGTGGTGCGAACTAGCTGAAATCCACCACTGTCTAAGCCAGTGGTTCTCAACCTTTTTAATGCCGCGACCCCCAACCAGTTGTAAGCCGAGGACTACTCAACTGGTGCAGCACCGTTTGTAGAATGGGACTTTTGGAGGGCTCAGCAGGGCAGACACAGCCTGGACAATTCCTATTGGCTTTGGAAAGCCAATAGAATTAGACTCTATTTAAGAGAGTCTATTCTATTGGCTTTCAAAAGCCAATAGAATAAAAGGGAGTAGCACAGCTAAGGAAAAGGGGGGGAAAAATGGCGGACTGCGTTGTTTGGCGACCCCCGTGAAATGGTCGTTTGACCCCAAATGGGGTCCTGACCCACAGGTTGAGAACCACTGGTCTAAGCAGTGGTGGCGAACCTATGGCACGCATGCCAGCGGTGGCACTCAGAGCCCTCTCTGTGGGCACTCACGCCATGCCCCAGAGATGGCAACTGTCCCTCTTCAATCACCTGCCTGCTAACTCGCCGAGG